TTAGATATGAAGATACTGTTGGAAACAATTTATGTGGATACATCTAAACATCCAACACTGGAACTAGATACATAAACCATTATATATATCAACAAAATGGAATACTAAACAGCCATTAAAATAATGCTATAGTAGGTATTTTACTGTTGTAGAGGACTGTTATACTATATGGAAGAATGATAATAATTTAACTATCCTGTAGCTAAACACCAAAATGGCACTCACAAAGCCACATCTTTAGCATATCACAGTGCTTCAAATGTACTCAGCAATCAATATCTGGTGATGATTACTGGAGTAATAGTAACTTTATTACTATCGTATTTAACAATAATAGTTGTGATACAATAGATTGATCTTTTAAGACTCATCCAGCCATATTTCTCATATTTCTCTCTTTCAACATGATTTATACCCATTATTAAATTTTAAAACAAATAATTAACTCCATATTCCAATCATTCAAGAATCTATTTTTCATCTTTCTCACACATTTCAAAGAATATTCTAACCACATTTCATCAGAAGTGTAAAAAAGGAAAAGAAATAATTTTTCTTGACAAGCCTTCAATATTAAGCATAATAAATCCATTTATTAATGTAACTAAAACTTCCCACATATTTTAGGCAAAATAAAAATATGTATAGGTACACGCACATATGTGCATATACTTGTAAGTATTTGAGAAATGTAACAGAGACAAAAGTTATTTTCCTTTAAGACAGTTAAGAAAGCTAAAGCATTGAGAGATTAAATCACTAAGCAACAGAAGACAAATTCAAATTGGTACATAAGTCTCTACCTTCCAAATCTGCTTTTTATTTCATATAATTAATCTAGCACATCAAAATAACTATTCTCTCTTTACTTAGGCCATTAAAAATGAGGCTTGAAATTGAGACAAACTAAGTTTTGACAGAAGAAATTTTCACATACTGCGGTATGGGAAAGTCAAAATGGTTTATATATTATTTAATTTAAACTTTATGCTAACTAGAACAGTCTGTTTTTTAGGCTATCAAACATATCTTGTATATCCGCTTTAACCATCAAAGAAAAGTATGCATTGTCCAGAAGTAAAGAATGTCCACTCTAAAGACAGAGATCCATGTCGCCCTTCCTGGGACATCAATGCTAGTACTCCTTCAACAATGAGGCTCCCTTCCCAGGAGCCAAAGTCACACTGACTCACTGCGTAGGAAGCAAATAAATTCCTGAAAAGAATGCACCCTCCCTGTTATGTTTGAGATTCTTTGTTCGGACAACAGATAAAACCATGCTAAAAACCATCTTCTTTGGAATAGTTTCTCAGAATCATCTGAGAGGCTGCCTCCCCAGCTACAGTTCTCCATTTGGCTGAAGAAAAATTCTTTTCTATTCCTTTTATTAAAATCTCAGCTGTGTCGCTTATTTCCCATGTGGCCTTGGGCAGGTTATTCATTGATCAGCACCCTCAGTTGTCTCATCTGAAATATCTACCTCGAAAGATTACTGTGAGGTCAAATTAGACAGTGAAGTTTAAACACCCCAGATACAGAAAGTGCTCAATAATATTTACAACTATCACTTCAAAGCTGTAAAACAGTGTTACTCAAAGTGTGGTCTGAGAACCAGCAACACCAGTATCACTACAAATGCAAATTCTCAGACCCTATTCCAGTTCTACTCTGGGGCTAAGTCCAAAAATCCATTTTAACAACCTCTACAGGTGATTCCTATATCTGATAAAGCTTGAGAAGCAATGCTGGTAAGAAATCCAAAATGTTACTTAGTTCAACCCCTCATTTTACAAAAGACTGGACTAAAATCAAAGATGTTCAGAAACTTGCTGAAATACATTCAGAAGTCTTACAGCAGTGCCAAGGTTCTGATTCCAATCTCCTTATCCAGATCTCCTATTTGGATCAGGGATTATCTAGCTCTCCAACCTAGAGCAACACTAGATAACAAAGAAATGTGAAACTGTGTGCTATGATTCCACAGAACTAGAAAAAGAGAAATCAAGCTGTAAAACACAAGAGACTTCTTAATAAAACAACTTTTTTTAAATCCCATGTTCTGTTCTTGAGAACTAGGTGAATAATTATTAACATATCTGAAAAGCAGAAAGGACAACACAGGCCTGTAAATAAGCTGCCAAAATGTGAGATTTTTGTGACCTTACTGAAAAGGTGATTCACGTCATTTTTATTAGACTCTTAATAATACAGCACAACCAACACACATAGCACAAGACAATGTAATGACTTAGTTCTCATTCTTCATTCATTTTCATTTGCCATCGATAATTTCAGCAAAAGCCACCTGAAGTTTACATTCGATATTTTCTGAACTTCCTTACAAAAATATTCTAGAACACCCCAAAATGTTGGAGTTTTTTTTCCTTTTGAAAGAATTCAGAATTGCATACTGACAAACACCATAAGCAAATCTCTCTGAACAAATGATTTTCGCTTATGTTCAAATATCTGGGCTTGCATTCATTTACCTGTCTGTGTCTCCAATTTCAAAACTTTCAGTAATCCATCGTCACCACCACATGCTATGAATCCTTGGTCCTTGTTCCAAGATACACATTTCAGCTTCACGTTATTGGGCACGGCAACCTGAAAAGCAACTACAGCCACTCACAACTTTTCACGAAGGGGTTGGTAGTGAGTCTACGGGAGATGAAGGCAGCAGAAGAAACGGTCTTGCAGAAATGTGAACCGTTACGATAATGATTATAGTCCCTTGAACTGCCCGGGGCAGATTTGGGAAAGAGACAAAGAACTGCCCACAGAAGAAGGGCAGTGACTAGGAAAAAAAAAAAAAAACACCAATGAGGGTGACCTGATGGATTTTTAAAAGGCAGGGGAGGCAACGGAGGTATAAATCTCTACCTTCAATCCTTATTCCCTTTCCACACACACTTTGCCTACCTTTTTATTACTTTTCTACTGCACAGCGGCCCGTGATGATCCAAAGAGTTTAAATCATCTGATAAGAAACAGGCGAAGTAGGGAAAGATAGGGACGCACACAGTGATCTGCCCTGCGGGCCTCCGCCAAAGGACCTGACCAGGGGCAGGAATGGGAAAATCTTGCGAGAGAGGAGCTGCCTCCGCCAAGGACTGCGTGGGCTCAGGGACCCGCAAGAGGAAGTCCGAGGCTGGACCGCGCCGGAAGGTGGAAGAAGGGATGGCGAAGCCTGGATCACTACGCATAGCCTCTCGGGCAGAATGCCGGAATCGCCTGCAGATTGAGAAACCGGAGGAGGAGCGAGGGCGAACCCTGGGAAACTCACTTTCTTGCTCAAGTAAAAGAACATCCTGAAAACCCCGAGAGGACGACCGCAGCAGTCAAAGCCCGCCACGGGAAACTTCTTCTAAGCTGCAGATCGCGAGTACCTGCGGCTCTTGGAAGCTCTCGTCGCCCTGGCAACCGCCGCCTCCCGGTCGCATCCGGGGCGCCGAAGGGACACTTCCGGCGTCGCCCTAGCATCACCGGGCGTCGTACGCCTGCGCGGACGTCGGGGTTTCTGGTAGAGCTGTTGTCGCGGCCCCAAACCCGGGTTGGAGCTGGTGGATTTGCTTCTGGGCTGCCCAGGGACCCAGCCGGCGCCGCGACTGTCAGTTCACTGCCTCGTAGCCTCAGGTGTCCTCGGTCCGGACGGGCTCTGAGGACCGGCCACGACCTCGGACGGTCGCGGTGGAACTCGACCGAGGTTTCTGTACCAGCCCAGTAAGGGCGCCCATTCAAATGAGGTCGTAAGGATGGGGTGTTGTGTAAGCCCCAAAGTCCCAACATTGTGGAAAGGAAAAGTACTTTACAGGATTTGGTAGGTTGGCCCCCGTTGGTCAAACGAAGGTACCGACAAATTTTTTCAGTCCTTGCAAACCTTCCTTTGTGCCTTTGGGGTTTGGAGACCCCTGGAGCAATTTCAGCGTAGGAGAGATTTTGTTAATTCTGTTTGTTTTAGAACTTTAAAACAACTCATTTAAGCGGTTTGCGACCCCATGGACTGTAGCCTGCCAGGCTCCTCTTTCCTTGGAATTCTCCAGGTAAGAATACTGGAGTGGGTAACTGTTCCCCTCTCCAGGGGATCTTCCCAACTCGGGGATCAAACGCAGGTCTCCCGCATTGCAGACGAATTCTTTACCGTCAGAGCCACCAGGGAAGCCCATTTAAGCTGTAATTGCAGCCTGAAGCCACTGATAAAAATAATATGTGTACACTTGAAACTAACACAACACTGTGAATTGCTATACTTCAATTAAAAAAAAAAGAATTTGTGTGAGCTTTGGCTGTTAGAGCATATAATCACCATTGAGTCATAGCCTCCCATTTTTAAGTAATTGAGGTGTTGTTATTTTCTTGCTAAGGGTCAACTGTTCTGTATTCTTTTTCTACCCTATTTCTTTCTTCAATTCTTGTCCTTTCTGAACTTTTGAAGAGTTACAGAACCACCACAATTTTAGACATAGGGCAGAAACTGCCATGGAATTACTTAGTCTTACCTATTTTTTATCTCTGGTTTTACCTTTTACCATATATGCAGAAACCACTGCTGATTTGCATAATCTAGTGTGTACTTTATACTTTGCGGCTTCCAGGTAGCCCAGTGCTAAAGAATCCGCCTGCCAGTGAAGAAGATGCAAGAGGCTCAGTTCAGTCCCTCCATTGGGAAGATACCCTGGAGTAGCAAATGGCAACCTGCTTCAGTATTCTTGCCTGGAACAAAACTCCATGGACAGAGGAACCTGGTGGGCTACAGTCCATGGGGTTGCAAAGTGGGCTGAGCACACACACACTGTACTTTCAATTCAGTTCAGTCACTCAGTCATGTCCGAGTCTCTGCGACCCCATGGACTGCAGCACACCAGGCTTCCCTGTCCATCACCATCTCCCAGAGCTTGCTCAAACTCATGTCCATCAAGTCAGGATGCCATCCAGCCATCTCATCCTCTGTCATCCCCTTCTCCTGCCTCCAATCTTTCCCAGCATCAGGATCTTTTCCAGTGAGTCAGTAATCTTCACACCAGGTGGCCAAAGTATTGGAGCTTCAGCAGCAGTCCTTCCAATTTATCTAATTTCCCCACCTGAATTCTTTCCCCATCCCCAGCAAATAATGTTCAGATCCTTTGACCTGAGTCTGTTGTCTCACTCAGCATACTGGGAAATTGACAATAAATCCTAGTACCTTTCCTGTCAGATCTAAACTGGAGCTAAAATCAGATCTTCTTTCAGTCTTAAATTGTTTTCCTTTGGTGCCCACACTTTAAGCAAGCCAATATGCTTTTTCCATTCCAACATTCCTGTCTGCTTCCAAGGCCATTTTTATATATCCTGTGATGTTCCTTTTGGCCAATTGTGCCCGCCAAATGCACAAAACAGGTCTCCCTGAGAAATCCTTACTAAACTTAATATATTTGGATAATACATACTTGTTTTCAAATGTATGTGTTATCTTTTTCAGCACCAGATAATATCCCTATATGTTTTCTGGCACCTGATCACAGGTTCCCTATACTGGACTCAGGAAACAAAAATCCGTTTTCTAAGCCGGGGGAATTCTAATCAACTGGTTAAGTTTAAGGCATGTTTAGTTGAAGCTACTGATGGTCACATCCTTAAAAATTTGTCTCTAAATACCTTTCCATAGTCCTTGTACATGAGCTCTCATTTATTCCCCCGTAATACCATTTCTTTGTGATATATTAATATAACTGATTGTGTGCTCAAAGAAGTTTGGAAGATAGCACTTGCTGTATGGTCCTTTCAAAAATGTTGAGAAATTATATGTTTCATATAATATTTATTGCCTTTGATGTGTTTGTTTTTCATTTCTTCCCTTGACAGTTTAGTTGTTTTTAATTGTTTCTGGGTTTCTTTTCAGGTGTTTATTTTAATGTACCTTCATCATTATTTAATCTGAATTTATGTAATTCTGTTTTATTCCCTCTCCCACAATATTCTTGAACAAAGCCTTTCTATTTAACCTGAACTTAAAATTTTAACTTTGAGAGCATGAGATTAAATTATAGGATGAGTCATAACACTATTTTGACTGACATTGTTTCATTGACAAGAAAATGTTTCATTTTCAAAATAATTGTAATTCAGCTTAATTTAAGAAAATACATGAACAGACAAAGTTGATATAAGTCAAAAAAAATCATGACAATAATATATAGATATTGATGTTTTTATTATAGTAAAGACAACATAAACCAAAAAAGAATGAATCATCTATGATTTAAAGAACTACTTTCTTCTAAAAGTTATAAGCGTTAAAGCTGAAAAAAAAATTTTTATCAAATATGTAAGTGGAAAAAACAGGCTTATCATGAACATTTTCAAAAACATTAGGTTATGTTGTTATAGCAATATTTATAAATATATAATTTTATTGATTGAATTCTAAAGTAAAACAAGTAAATTTAGAATTTTTTGTTCTTGGTAAATAGTTTAACATTTAACTCACAACTAAAGTCTGTAGTTGTGTGTCTCTTTCTAACATCAGAATGAATTAAAAATGGCATGTAACAACTCACTTAATCTGTGTTAACTATATTTAGATATATGTATTACAATCCCCTGATCACAGCTTCAACAATACCCTGGCAAAAATGAGAAAAAACAAAAAAAGTTAGCGATATAGTTCTAAACTATATTCATCTCAATTTAATTATATGAACTTTTATGTGTAAATACCCTCTACAAGTTACACTCTAAAGTAACAAGACTGGTTTATACTATATCAAGAAAAAAAATAGATCAAAAGTTTCCATTTTAAGTATGATTATCTTACTAATACAAACATTTAAAAATTAAATGGCTCAATTAGTAAAGAAGTAAAAAAATTATGAAACCTTTCCTTCTATTTTCTACCAACTATTTCACAGTCATAGCTTAAAGACACTAAAATTTGCACTTAATCAGGGACATTTCTGTCCTTAGAAAAATGATACTGGTTCACCAGAAGATCCAGTAGCATTCAAGCATTTGTAATGGCAGATTTCTAGCAGGAACACTCGAGTATGGTCAAGTATTTACTGCACCAAATGCTCGTTATTTCCAGGTAAAACATTTGAGTAGTTTAACGATGTACTTGTCCATATTCATTTGCTTGCAACTTCTCCAAAATGTCATCAAGTGACTAGTTGTTAAGGCCAAAACCACATATTTTTAAACATTAGAAAATGTAAACACACTTTCAGACACTTCAGTACAAGGTAAAAGAAAAATGTAAGTTCTCATTGGAACAGAAAGAGTGAAATTTTCTCACCAAAAATCTAATCTGTCTAAAACTCAGATAGTCTGTCCTTTAGAGAGCAGGATATAAAGTGGCGGTCTTCAAGCATTTTTGTTCATATGTCCCCTAAAATAATTTTGACAAGTAATACCTTGTGCATATTTAAATTATATGAAAATTTTCATAACTTTTATGTAACAAAGTATGCAATTTTGCTGTATTATAAGTATTGATGCTTTAAAATAAAATTTAAACCAGTCTTTTAAATGTATCCTATGTAATATTAATAACATACTGAATTATTACTATTGTTCTTCTAAAATAAAATATCTCCTTAAATTTGTATTTCCTTTCTGCTGCTTCCACAGAATTTTATTCTACTTGAATCTTGAAAATCTGTTCTTGATCACTCTCTTACAGTTTCTGACATAAACTTCATACAGACAACAAGCACATACACGTTTACGTCTAGATTACCTTTGAATTAATTTTCTTTGACCAAAGGCTCTAATTCTTTTTAATCACCTTGGTTGAGTTATCATTACAACTATGATGGGCACACAGTTGATCCAAACAAGAACTCAATCACAAATTTTGAGATAAAATCATTAAAAAAATAAAAGGTAAATTTTAATTAGAAAGGTATCTCTTAATGAAATAAATCGGGAGAGAAGTGTTTATGAAACCTTAATTTAAAAAACTGTTGAGGGACTTCCCTGCTGGTACAGTGGTTGAGAATCCACCGCCAATGCAGGGGACATGGGTTTTGATCCCCAGCCTGGGAAGATTCCACATGCCGCAGAGCAACTAAGCCTACCCACCACAACTACCGAGCCCGCACTCTAGATCCCCCCAGCCACAACTACTGAAGCCTGTGCACCCTAAAGCCCAGGCTCCCCAACAAGAGATGACACCGCAACGAGATGCCTGTGCACCACAAAGAAGAATAGCCCCCTCTCAATGCAACTAGAGAGCCTGTGCGCAGCAACAAAGACCCAGCATGGCCAAAAATAAATAACTTAAAAAAAGAATTGTCCTTTTATTTGGCTCTCTGGAGATTTTACCTTTCCAAGAAATTCACCTTATTAAAATTCAGGGTAAGCAAGAGATATCCCTTTCTTTTTTTTTTTCAATAAATGTTTCCTTCTCTTTTTTTTTTTTATTTTTTTTCCCATTTATTTTTATTAGTTGGAGGCTAGAGATATCCCTTTCTTATGTAAAGTTAGGAGATTGGTGGCACTGAAATGAGAGATGGGAAAAGAGACTGCCAACTGACCCCAAGTTGCATTGTAAGCAGATCAATTTAAGGAAGTGAAGGATTTGGAAACATTCCTTTAAAATGTTCTGTGTCCCCTCATATCCCTTGAATGTCTCTGCAAGCTCCGAGGTAAGCTCCTACTGAAACAAGAGCTTGAACCCTAAGGTCCTTGCCCCCTTACCATGTCCTCTGCCTGCCTTTTGTCTGTGGAAAACTTTACTCAAAGAATAAGCTTAACCAGAGAAGTGAGAAATTTGGAAACAAACAATCAAAGACTAAATAATATAGTCATTACGCATAGTCAGGGACCTTCAGTTTTTTCTCAAGAGCTATAGATAATATTCTGAGCCATATCCTGTGAACTGTCTCATCAATACTAAAATACTAGGTGGAAGAAGTTAGCTACCTAATGACCAGACTGTAGGCAATTCAGAGAACTGGCCGCAAAGAAAAGAACAAATGAACCTCGGAAGAGAAGATTAAGCACACCTAAAACAACCAAGATGATGCTGGTCAAACCACTGAGGACCAATCTGAAGATGACTGTTCTGTTTCTGCATGTAGTCCTCCACCCGCTGTCTATAAAAACTCTCAGCCCTGACCACCCCCATATGCCGGCATCTGAAATAAAGCAAACTTTACTTTCCACCAACCTGGCCTGTTTGCTGACTTTTGAGCAGCAAGCACACTCTTTCAGTAACTATCGCAGTTTGAATACTCCTCGAAGATCCCTAGGAACAGTGTTGTTAACTTCAGCTGGGCTAAGAAAAAGTACTCTTCCTGAATAACTCCTTTGGCTAAAGAACTGCTTTTGAAAGTTTCTGAGGTGGTACCGTGTTACATTTTGAAACCTGCTCTTTGACCACCTGGCTAAACAAAGTTATCACACTCCATTCATCAGCTGACTTGTCTGAGTAAGAAAGTCCTATTAAGGAATCAGGATGATAGCCCTGGTTAAATAGAGCTTAATTAGGAGCTTATACTGCTGTGGAAAAGCACTAGAAAAATAATTACACCACTTTCACATGCAAATAAAAATGGGTGTAACAGTCTCCTAAAATATTTAAAAAGAACTCTTAAAAAATTAAGCCTGTGTATTTCTACTGTTCATCTTAAAACTTAATGAATAAGGCCCTTATCCTGTGAAATGTCCTCAAATGTCCATTGTAAGACCTAGGTTGGCTTCAAGCAGAAGCAGAAATCCTTCCAAAAAGGATATGTTTCGAGTTCAGTCTCTGCAGATATGAGTTGACCTTATCCTGGAATGCCAGTGTGGCTTCACACGCACAAGCATCTTCTGTGGAGATGAGTCTTCGCGCTTCTTCAATGGCTGGAGGCAATGACAGTACACAGAATGTTACAGCTATTCAGAAATCATAGGAAATCGGGAAATCAACGATTCAATACTTCTACTTTTAAGACTTAAGCTACATGCATCTTCTAGGAGATAAAAGGAAGTAAGAGCCACAGAAAGAGGAGAAAATACTATAGGATGTGTCAAAGAAGAAACAGAGGTGTTGAGGAAAAGTTTACAATCGTCAAAGCTAGGTGATGGTTACATGAGAATTCTACTGTTCTCAATGCTTTGATGATCAGAAATTCTCCATGATACAAAGTTAAAATGTTTTAACACGATGTAGGGAGAAGCCAAGAATGTAGAGATAAAGACCATCTCCTTGTGATACTGTGTCTTTGTTAAGAAATGAAAATGTTCACTATGGAGAACAGGGTGGAGGTGCCTTTAAAAACCAATGGTGGGAAGGACGCCTGGGGGAAAAATAGAAACATTCCATCCTGAAGACATTTGGAAACCACTGGAGGATTCCGATGGTAAGAGGCAAGACTCAAAACTGTCCTTCAGACTTGAAGACAGGAAAGCTCACTCCTGTCCAAGTGCATGGATGAGGCTTAAAGGGACCATCGTTACCTGAACATGTCTTCTTGTCTTCATTCAAGGTGTAGCCAGTGTCACAGTCGCAGTGATAAGAGGCATTGCCGTCATACACACAGATGTGTTGGCAACCATGAGAGCCCAGGGCACACTGGTTAAGAACTGGCCAGGGTTGGGGCAGGAGAGAGAATATTCACAAATTACCATCGGAAACGACACCGATTTCTGGAAGAAGCTTTGGTTCGGTCCCAACTTGGGCACATATGAATCCTTCAGTCATCAGTCTCCCATGTTTCAGAAGAAGGGAGCCTCTTCCTGATTCCTCCCCCACAGCCCTTCCCTGCTATTTATTGCAAATATTTTGGGTTCTGCCTCTCTTTTTTTCACTGTCCACAGTCCTGGAGGGCTGCACTGCATCTTAATTCTATTCTAGAACTTACCTCTGGCCTTTCCCTAACACCTCCAAGCTCTCCAGCTATATATGGATCATCTTCACCATTACCAAAAATAAATTACTAGGGACCTACTCACACACGGAGTTAAATTTGATGCTGCACAAAAAAGATTGTATTGACCAAGGGCCTGTCTTTGATGCTTAAAGTGGTACAGAAAATAATGACCTGCGAGCTCATGCACACACAGAGAGAGAAAAATAATAACGATGATGGTGCTGATGATGTGTATGGTTGGACAAGAATGTATTTTTTATCTGTCACAAATACATTACAAGGAGCAAAGTCTTCCTGGGGGACATAGGTCCTTCTCGGCCATTATAGGAGTCACACTGTTTGTTCCTCTCTAAATCTCCTCTTAAGTGTCATTCCATGCTTCCAAACTTTCCATGGCTCACTATTGTTGTTCAGTCACTCAGCTGTGTCTGACTCTTTGCAACCCCATGGACTGCAGCATGCCAGGCTTTCCTGTTCTTCACCATCTCCCAAAGCTTGCTCAAACTCATGTCCACTGAATCAGTGATGCTATCCAACCATCTCATCCTCTGTCGTCCCCTTTTCCTCCAGCCTTGAGTCTTTCCTGGCATCAGGGTCTTTTCCAATGAGTCAGTTCTTTGCATCAGGTGGCCAAAGTATTGGAGCTTCAGCCTCGGCATCAATCCTTCCAATATATATTTGGGGTTGATTTTCTTAAAGTCTGCATATTTTATCACTGTTTCCATTGTTTCCTTATCTATTTTCCATAAAGTGATGGGTCCAGATGCCATCATCTAAGCTTTTTGAATGTCGAGTTTTAAGTCAGCTTTTTCACTCTCTTTTACCTTCATCTGTAGCTCACTACTGCCTAGAAAAGAGCTTTTCATGGCACACAAGGCCCTAGATAATCTAACCACAATGTCTTTCCAACTTTCACACTGATATTCCCTTCACTACTACAATTCAGATGTTTCCAGTAAAATGCCTACTAGCAGAGCATTTCTTTTTCCCCTCAGCCCAGCTTAGCAGCGACTCCAGAGATAACAAGCGGACATGCCTCCAGCCCCCAGCCCCTGATCTGGGGCCCCACGGTTAATTTACTAGCTTTCCCACTGCCCAGTGAGAGGAAGGCAGGCCAGTAGAGGGGATCTGCCCCATGTTGTGTACCCCAGTTTTAGCATGGCATCCATTATTGCTGTAAAATATATAAACACTTATTTCCCACCATCGCATCTTTCTTTTTCTATCTCCTTTTGTTGTCCATGTGCTTTGCACCATGAGACAGTGTAGCTCAGTGTTTGAGAATGTCCGAACCATCAGATCAAGTGCCTGGGTTCAAATCCTGGCTCTGCTACTCACTAGCAAGTGACCACCAGCAAGTTACTCAGTTGCTATGAGTAAATTTGCTGTGAGCAGTAAATGTGTGGCTGTCGCTAAAATGCCTGGAACAGCGCATGGCATCCAGCAGACACTGAAAAATGTGGGTGAACCGTTACCTGGAAGTGCTGCCTTAACTGAAGTCTGTCTTAGTGAAAATCTCCTTTGATTTCTTCTTTTTAATAAAGTGGTTCATTTTATTCCATAATATCTGTTAGTTTACATGTAAATGCACTTTGTTTCCTTTTCGCAGGTCTTCAGTTTAAAGGACCCACTTAGAGTATCAACAGGGATACGAACGGTTTGAGAAGAGCAGCCTTGAATCCTCTCCACCCAGGGGAATTAGTCCCACCTTGTGACCTAGTCCCACCCACCTCAACAAATTGACACAAGCCCCTCCCCTTGCCCGTGCCCCCTCCACTCCTCCAGTCCCGGCCCTCCGGCCACCCCCAGCCTCTCCTTAGACTCTCGCTACCAGTCACTGCTTTCTTAAGGTACTGGTTCGGGAGTAATCAAAACCATAGCATTGGCATATATACACCACCATGTGTAAAACATAGCTAGTGGGGAGCTGCTATATAATACAGGGAGCCCAGACCAGTGCTCTGTGATGACTTAAAGGGGTGGGATGGAGGCTCAAGAGGGAGGTGATATATGTATCCTTATGGAAAATTCACATTGTCGTACAACAGAAACTAACACAACATTGTAAAGCCATTATCCTCCAATGTTTAAAAAAAAAAAAAAATGACGCTTTTTCGGTTTGCACCCCACCTGTCCTAACTCAGAGTCAGAAGTTGCTGCTTCCTTACATGCCCACACGACTAAGCACAGTCCTGGGAACAAAATAGGGGCTCAGTGCTGTTTTACTGATCTCATTTTTTTTTTTAAAGGGCAAATTCGAGATGTGCCACGTCCTTTAATCTCTCTTGAAAAGGTCACATATTACACCTCCTCAAAGAAGAGGAGAGTATACATAAAATCTAAAAAAAAAAAAAAAAAAATACTGAATATGCCAAAATTAAACAGCACCTTGAGAGCTAGGAATTTCTCAGAGGACTGCTTTTACATTATAAATGCCACTCTGTTCTCCCAGTGAGTTTAAATCAAATTAATGAGGATTAGCAGTTCTGGCACGGGCTCCCTCACCAAGTCATAAGCCTCAGATTCACCCAAGATTGATCATCTAGAAACTGTCAGGGAAGGACTTGCTTCAAACTTACTGGAAGATCTGTGTGGGTCTAATTCAGTCATTTACAAAGTCTCCTTTACTAAAAATGATCCAGCTTTAAGTCGAACACTACAGAAAAGTTCCAGGCCTAGTTTTAATTGGAAAAAGATCAGTTCAGCCTATCACACCAAATAGTTACTGTCCCACGGACTTCCTCCAAAGTTTCCTATTTGCTTTTCAGAGATATAAAATTTTCCTGGACCGTACATCCAATTAGCTTTTCTTATATTCCCCCACTCCCTGCCCATTACCAGTAATTTTCTGAAGTGAGCTATGTTTGCAAAACCTAGTGAGCAAACTGCCCCCCTAGCAGTGTGTGCCTTGGTCTGTAAGCATGGTAGAATGTCTGAAATCCAATTGCTTACCTTACCTTTAAGAATCTCTCTCCTGGTGAATTGAAAGTTAGTTTCACAGCAGTAGAAAGGATCCCGTATGAAAGAATTTACTGAGCGGACCTTACCTGAACACGTCTTTTTATCTTCATTCAGAGTGTAACCCTCGTAGCACTCACAGTGGTGGGACCCAGCTCTGTCATTCACACAAATGTGCTGACAGCCATGCGTGCCCAAAGCACACTGATCTTGAGCTGCCAAGCGGAAGTCCAGAAGAAAAGAAATTAAATGTGGAGAGGTCTTTTATTACCCATATGTAGAAATCTTCTTATTTGCAGCTAGCAATGCAAAAAAGGAGAATTTACTAGAAACCACTCAAAGCCATCAGTAATATGTACTCTTACTAGAAATTAGCTGAGTAAAACAAACTGATACACATACAATACTTAGTCTTCTATCTTCCCCTACTCCTTTTCATAATCTATGCCGAGTTTATATTGTTGGTCTTTTCTTTTTTTGTTTGTTTGTTTGTTTCTTTGTCTGGCCTCACCTTGTGGCATATGGGGTCTTAGCTTTCTGACCAGGGATTGAACCCACAGCCACTGCATTGGAAGCATGGGGTCTTAACCACTGGACTGCCAAGGAAGTCCCCTATACTGAGCTTTTATCATCTAAGTATCTCACAAATACTTTCTAAACCATTCCTTTTAGATTTGCTGTATTTATGCTGAATGAGAGGGATTCCAACAGTTGTAGAACTAATTATACTAGATTCAGAAAGACACAGAATCCGCATTTGAAGAAACTGTAGCTCAGTTCTCTCCTGTAATAAATGAGGAAACCAAGTCCAAAAGAGATCAACTGACTCAGAACAGCATCAGAACTCAAGACCCAAACCGCACTTTTGTACACTTCTCTCTACTGACATGATATTTTTAAACTATTGTTTATCTTTGTGAACTTTTCATTTTGAAAAATCCTACACTTCATCCCATTTCCCCAAATGTAAACATCCTATACAAGCACAGTGTAATGACCAAAACCAGGAAACTAACCATGATACAATGCCCTTAACTAACCAAAGACCTTATTCAAAGTCTGCCAGTGTTTCTACCATGAATGCCCTTTTTGTGGCCCAGGATCCAATCCAGGCTCAAACACTGCTTTAAGCTGTCACGTCTCCTGGGTTTCCTCCAATCTGGGACATTTCCTCAGTCTTTCTTTGTCTTTCATGACTGTGACACTTTTGAAAATTACTGAAAAATTAGTTCATGGAATGTCTCTCATTTTGGAATGTCTCTCAGTTTGGGTTTGTCTGAGGTTTCCTCATGATCCTAAACTTTTAGCAAGAAAACCACAGAAGTGCTGTTGTGCCCTGAGAACATGACAACAGAAGAAGTATGACATCACTGTGTGTCACGTGACGACAGAAGAAGCATGATGTCACTGTGTGCCACGTGACGACAGGAGAAGCATGATGTCACTGTGTGCCACGTGACGACAGGAGAAGCATGATGTCACTGTGTGCCACGTGACGACAGGAGAAGCATGATGTCACTGTGTGCCACGTGACGACAGGAGAAGCATGATGTCACTGTGTCACTGCCAGTGACATCAACTCCGATGACTTAGTGGAAGTGGCGTCTGCCAGGTCTCTCTGCTGCAGTTACTGCTTTTCTTTTTTTAAGTAACAAGTGTCTGATGGGATGTTATTTGATTTTAACTAAATTGTCTTCAGCATCTGGAGAGGACAATTAAGGCTGGGGACAGAGACAGAAATGAACAACACACTCACACAAGTAAGTCATGAGACAACATACTGCCATTTTTAACTTTTCTCATAAGAAATGGGATGGCATCATAAGATGACAACAGACAAAAAGATATCAAGTTCCCCGTTGAGATGACCTCCCCAACACTGGCTTGGGGAGGTAGGTAGACAGAGAGGCAATAGTAAAGCCCCTGCCCCAACTTACCTGAACACGTTTTCCTGTCTTCATTTAAGGTGTAACCTTCATAGCACTCACAATGATAAGAGCCAGTTCTGTCATTCACACAGATGTGTTCACAGCCATGAGTGTTAAGAGCACACTTATCAATAGCTATCAAAAGACGACCAGGACAAATGTCAACACATGGAAAACATGCTAAGCAAATAACTATGGGCCATACCAGACACATCCACGCACACATACACACATGTACATACACACACACACACAATGCTAATGAAATGGGTCAGTCTGACACAAGAGGATGCCTACTGGACGGGAGGGTTGGAACTCGCTTCCTGATCTTGGTTCTTTCACTGACAGACCCTATGACATGGGTAAGTCTTCTCCCTTCTTGGGGCAGTGGGGATGGATCTCAATTTCATTTTCTATAAAATGATCAGGTTGAGTTAAATGATCTCTTAAGTTTTCTTCCTCTCAACAACTATTTTCTAGGATCTAACAAAATGGACCTAATTTGTACCCTTCATTGACAGTATGTGAGTATTCATACAGCAGATGAGTGAGAACCTCCCTAAGTTTTCTTCCACTTCTAGATTCCATGAGCACCTAGGGTTACAGAAAGGTAAAAGTAGCTTGTATTAAATTAAATAATATCCAGGAAAAATTCAAAAATCTCAAAAGACCAAGAGTTTTTTCCTTTTCCCCTACTAACCCTTCTCTCTAAAATAAGCCATAACTACTGTAATAGGCTGTTTTAGGTATTATCTCACTTTCCTCCTCATGTTCCTTTTCAAGGAAAGTTGTTGATAACAGTAAATCTGCCACAAGGCAGATAGGAGAAAAGCAAAAGGCCAGTCCAAAGTCTTGGGGAGTGAGTCCCCAAATATGTCCCTGTTAGCCAGTCCCTTAAGCAGGCCTCACCTGAACATGTCTTCTTATCAGCATTCAAGGAATATCCTTGGCTGCATTCACAGTGGTGCCTGCCTTCTCCATCACTGATACACACATGCTGGCACTGATGTGTGCCCAACGCACACAGATCCAGAGCTGTGCAAAGAAAATTTACAAGAGTCAGTGTCAACACATCAGAAGCATTTCAGATACTTCCTCTCTTGTCAAAAAAAAAAAAATCACTCTGCACATTCCTCTCCAATTCCATCTTTCAGTTCAGTTCAGTTCAGTCGCTCAGTCATGTCCGACTCTTTGTGACCCCATGAATCGCAGCAGGCCAGGCCTCCCTGTCCATCGCCAACTCCCAGAGTTTACTCAAACTCATGTCCATCGAGTCGGTGATGCCATCCAGCCATCTCATCCTCTGTCGTCCCCTTCTCCTCCTGCCCCTAATCCCTCCCAGCATCAGGGTCTTTTCCAATGAGTCAGCTCTTCGCATGAGGTGGCCAAAGTATTCCATCTTTAGTTCACTCTAAAAATTGACTATTTGTTTTCTGCCCCTGGCTTATTTCTGCCCCTTAGTAATGTTTAAATTAGTAACTAGGAATGTTACTAATTTAAAATCATAGATCTTGTGGTTGAGTTTCTCAAAGGAGAAAGGGATTTTTTAATTTGGAGCTGAAACCAAACAGTTACATGAATCAGGCAATTCAGTGTTTTATCCAATGTATCTACCTGGACAGAGAAAAAGACTTTTGCTCTCCAACAGCAAGAAGAGAACAATATTGTACTTCCTAAAGTTCTACAAGCTAGTTGTCCCACTGCAACCAGAAGCCAGTTTCCAAGGATTTTATAGTGTGAGTCTAAACAGAATTCATCCCCAGGCATAGGCCTGGAACTCAATCACTCTTTGGGCAGCAATACATGTTTGAACATGCAAATGGTGGAGGGCAATGCAGGTAACTGCCTTTTAAATATATGGTACGGGTTCCTGAGCTCAAATGTATCTGCACGTGACTCTCATATCTACAAGGAGTCTAAACTCACATGTTGTATGAAAAGTGAAAAAGAAAGTGACAGTGTTAGTCACTCAGTCATGTCTGACTCTTTGCGACCCCATGGACTATAGCCTGCCAGGCTCCTCTGTTCATGGGATTCTCCAGGCAAGAATACTGGAGTGGGTGTCCATTCTCTTCTCCAGGGGATCTTCCCAAACCAGGGATCAAACCCAGGTTTCCTGCACTGCAGGCAGGTTCTTTACCATCTGTGCCACCAGGGAAGCCCTATCTGCTATATACGAATCAGTAAAAGAAAAAGAACACAACACATTAGCTAAATGGCATCCTCATCTTTTTGCTCCTGGAGCCATTTTTATGTCAGACTTTTTTCCCAAGTGACATGTTTTGATAAAAGAATCATGTATTTGGTCATTTCTGAGAAACCAAGGAGGCCTGTAGGAGGAGGCTGGCACCCCTGTGGCAGTTCACCCAGCCCCCACAGTTCTGGCAACAGGACAAGGCTAATATTTTTCCAAGAAGGGCCTTTTCATGGAATAATCTTTCCAGTCGGTTGACTACAACAGCTGCCCCTCAGTCTTTTTTCCAAAGACAGGACGTTTTTCCCCCAGAACAAGAAGGTCTCTTGTACCAGGATGAAAAGGTAGCCACTCACCACTTGTTACTTTATGTCCTTCAAGCCCAACCCCAGGTGCTAGCTTTAAGGCCCAACCTTGCCACAGAACAGCATCTTCATGGAAAAGTTCTCACCCACAAATACAGGGGGGGTTTCCTGGGAGAAAGAAAGCTATTTTCTTTTGGGAAACCAATGACTGCCGAGTTAATGCCACTAAAGCCAAGGACAGCTTGAGAAGACCCAGTGTCCTAAGGCAGGAAACACAAGAGGGCCCCTGCCAGGTCTGGCTGAGATGAGGTCAGAATTTGCTCCAGACCGAGACTTCATCTCCCATTTCCTGACAAACTGTTGATTACTGAGTTTCACTTTCATTTATGTATAAAGTCTCCTTGAAATTGACAACTGTAATTACTGGTTCACTTGCTTGTCTCAGGTCCAGCCCTAGACTTTTGCTTGATGGTAGGCAGGGATTACCCTTATCTTTGTATCATCAGTGATCAATAAACACATATTGAGAAAACAAATGCAGAACAGTTATCTACACTTTAAAATTCACCTGAACTAGAAATTTGTCCACACCTGCTTGGATAATTCTACAGAGTTTTGAAAGATTATCTCCACATGATTAAAAAAAATGAATATAGATAGAAAGAGACAAAGGAAGATAGAAATTTTTTAAAGAAAAACAAAAAATAAATTTAAAAGTAAAAATTAAAAAGTTCGAGTCCCACAAATTCATAATTTTGCTCAGTGATTAAAGATAAACCTGAGCCTTGAATGGATTCATATTCATGGGTTTGGCTGATTCATGCTAAAAATTCTAATTAAATCAGCATGTTCAGATTTAAACTCCATCCTAAAGGAAGAAAGGAGAGGGAGGACAGTAGCAGAATAATTAAAAACTTAAAACATTAAAATGAAGAACCAAAAAATAGCCTACATCTTGCTATCTCAAAAGTGAGCTGAAATCCTAGTCTCCCTGGTTCTTAATCTTGTCCCTCCACAAGGAATAATCAGAGAATGAGCTGAATCTGAAAACTAGAGTATTTGCTAAGTATACACTCTGATGGACAGTTATGCTGGACAAGAAGCCAGCCAATCTTTCTAGGGACAGATGTAGTCCCTGTCTTCTGAGAAAAAAACAAGCAGAGTTCTGTTAAATCTAGAGATGGTAAAACTAAAGAAAATATCTGGAAAAAATGCAGTGGCCAGAGGGGAGAAGAGAGGTGTCTGGTTTTTTATTTGTATTTTTTTCTGACCCCATCAGGGAACAGCAGGATCATTTACCCTGGATATTTCCAGAACTTCACATTTCTAATGCAAACAGGAAGATTTTATGAGCAAACCAACTTATATATAAGGCAGCTCTATATTCCTAAGCCAACAAAGTATGCTTAAGTTTAGGGAAAAAAAAAATCACATACCGAAAAAAAACGTTGCTTATATTTAAGTTTTCCATAAAATTTCCACCAAAAAAAAAGAATAAATCTCTTTTTCTTCGGACACACGATGTCTGACTATAACATCTTTTCTAACTAGAAGCAAAGACTTACCACAAAAGGTCTCCTGGAATCTAGAGGAAAGTTTCTCAATGACCCCATAGGTCTCCACATAGAAAACATGCTCGTCCAGGGGTTCGCTGGCCATCATCTTGAGGGACTCCATGTCGGCCCGGTCCACGCCCACAGCGTACAGCTCAATACCGGATGCGCGGGCTCGCGCCGCCACCTCGTTCACCTGGTCCTGGGGCCGCCCGTCGGTCACGATGATGGCCACCTTGGGGATGTTGGAAGAGGGCCCTCGAGCTCCTGCCTCCACTGTGAAGGCTTCATCCATCGCCGTCTGGATGGCCAGGCCTGACATGGTGCCTGTAGACAAGGGCGTGATCCGCGCCACGGCTCGTTTCAGGGACTGCTTATCCGAGTGGGTCTGGAGATGGAACTCGATCTTCACGGTGCTGGCGTAGTTCACCACTGCCACCCGTGTGTCCGCTGGCCCGATGTTCAGAGTGTCGATTATTTTCGAGACAAACGTTTTCACTTTGGTGAACTCCAAGGGCCGTACACTACGAGAACTATCGATGATGAACACCAGGTCCAAGGGCCTGCTCTTGCAAACACCTGCAAAGAAGGGCACGGGGAACAGTACATGGCTAATCGGTGAGCAGACCACAGTCAGAGGGGAATGTTGTGTGTGACCAGCATCCTTGGCCCCAGATACCCGACTCTCTGCTGTCTTCCTCAAGACCACCCTCCCTTTGGACGTTGAAAGCACTGAGGCCTTTCAGGATTCCCCAGTGAGAATTCACACAGTGGTGTGACATTTCCTCAAAGAGCTCCCCTCTTTGAATGTCCTGAACTTTTCACCTGGAAAGTTTCATACTTCTGCTTAAAGTTTGTTCCAGGGTTCCTCTTTGACGCACAGGAATGGACTTCAGGCCTCTCTTGGGCACCTTGGCCATCCCTGAACCCTGTCTGAACTGAACTCAGGGCAGCCTCAATGCCCCCTCCATGGCCTGCTCAAGCCTCACAGCCCCTCAGACAACAGCAGAGTGTGAGGCGAGGCACGCAGGTGCTCTCATGGTGACTTCCTTCTTTTTCTCCACTTTCAAGGTGGTGAAAACTGCTCCAGGGCAGCCCTAAATTCTCCCTCCATCTGGTCACTCACTCATGTTTAGTGAACTCTGAGGTCCAAATAGTCCTGAGTTTAAACCTCAAAAAGTGGAAAGAAGGGTGACCACTTCATCTAGTCCACGTTGAGGTCCGTCTCTGTCAGCATGTCTTGTTTCAAGAAGCAGAGAGTTTGACCTGGTATCTATCCTACTGCCCCCACCAAATTCTTAGTCACCTCTCTTTCACTTTTTCATTCTCCAAATTTTTTTTTTTTTTTTTTTATGGTAAAGCGTCTGCCTGCAATGCAGGAGACCCAGGTTCAATCCCTGGGTCAGGAAGATCCCCTGGAGAAGGAAATGGCAACCCACTCCAGACTCTTGCTTGGAAAATTCCATGGGCTGAGAAGCCTGGTAGGCTACAGTCCATGAGGTCACAAAGAGTCAGACACAACTGAGCAACTTCACTTTCACCGTGTATTAAGCCAAGGGGCTACAAAAATAATAATAATAATAAGCAGATTACCTGCCCTCAAGGAACATGTATTGTTCCCAAACAAAAGGACTTGGCACATTGTAGAGACACAATACAGTTTTGTTTTCAGCACATCCTTCTTATCCTTTCCCCCTCTAATCTCATTCTATACTCCTCCCTCTCCTAGCCACCCAAATCAAATCCAAGAGAGAAGCCATTCCTCCTTCTTTCCCAAAACACACACACACACACACACACACACACACACACACACACACACACACACTCCCTGAATCAAAATGATATCCTTTGGCATGAAATGCCACTCAGGGTTCTTTCCTTTCCTAATAGGAGGCTGGCTGGAAATTGATAAAACTCTAAGAGAGCAATTTACTCAGTGTGTAAGGAGAAAAGGTGTAGGTATTTTATTTATTCAAAATTAAATTCCTAGCTAAGCAGTTGATGACAGAAAAAGCCCTGTCTGCAATAGGAATTATGCTTCTGTATAGTTAAAAAACAAACCAACAAACAAAAACTGGGAAGTATCCTCTTGCTTTTAGCCTGATTTCTAGAGGTATTAATTAAGACAATAAATAAATCCTACCTTCAGTAACACTTTAGATATCACAGGATTTCAACCCAACAACCTTGTGAAGTTAGAGATGCAATTAGAGATGCAAGTTAGAGTTGCTTTTATACCCTTATACAGGTGAGGTACCTGAGACTCAGGGAGGTGTAGAGCTAGAAAGTGGTAGAATATAGATAGGACTCCAGGTTTCCAGACTCCCAGCCCAAAGGGACTTTTCATTGCATGATTGCCTCTCTGAGGCAGCATTTTCTGCCACCAAAATTAACATTATCTCAAGTACTTAGTGAACATCTTACTTGGTGACTTTGAGCCATCAATATGAATATGCTATACGTCATGTATTTAGCTAAGTCAAAAGGAATTAATTCTTTAAAAAATAAATAAATAACTCCAGAATTTCGTTTCATCCCTGATTACCATGTACTGAGAGCAAAGAAGAAGAAAATCTTCCCAGGAGATGGATCTGGCTGTGTTTGCATAATTTAAGTAAGAGGAAAACTACATATGATATGAACCCTGTATCTGACAGTGTTGTCTCTAACACCCGAATGGTGTTCCTACTCATGTTGAGGTTATGTTCTTGCAAGTAAACGTGCAAGATTCCTTTCCTCCTTCACTTGATTTTTCACAGGGAATCATCTATAGGAGATTACAGGGGTGTAGTGGGCAGGATAAGATAATGCCCTCCCCTCACATATGTCCATGACCTAATTCCCAGAACCTCTAAGTATGTTTATTTACAAGGTAAATGAGACTCTGCAAGTGTGATTAAGTTGAAGATTTGAGATGGGGTGGTTATCCTGGTGGATCCAATATAATTACAAAGACTCCTAAAAGTTGAATAGGGAGGCAGAAGAGATCTGGGAGATGACATGTGAGGAATCATCCTGCCTTTGGTGGCTTTGAAAATGGAGGAAAAATGTCATGAGCCAAGGAATGAGGGTCACCTCTATATGGTGAAAAAGGCAGAGAAATGGATTTTCCTCTAAGATCTTTCCAAAAGGAAAGCAGCCCTGCTGATACCTTAATTTTAGTGTCAGACTTCTGATCTACAGAACTCTTACACAGTAAATGTGTGCTGTTTTAAGCCACTAAATTCATGGTAATTTATTACAGCAGGAATAGAAAATACAGGGGGCTTAGCAGGATGTTCTGTGAGCATCTGCTTACTTCCTGATTCAGACCCCCTTTACATTCATTGTTTTTGAATCTCACTTCCCTTTTCTAGATAACAACACTTTGATTCTTAGAAATCAAGAAAATGAGAATCTGAATTTCCGAAAATGTTTCCTTACTCACAATAATTGTCAATTTCTGAGAACTCCGCTAGAAATAAAAGTCCATAGCAAAGCCTAGCAATTTCTGGATGCAAAAAGGAGAGAATTTGAAAAAGAGTGGAATGCAGTGCTTATTAAAGAATTATCATTTAATGTTGGTTTTTATTTCAAGTAATAAAGGACCAGTGCTGCTCAGGGAACATTGACCACCCCATGAGAAATCCTTCCTTCTCTTTCTAGTCCCTTCTCCAAGGAATGTGGATCAGGACCAGAGGTAAAATAACCTCTGGGAGAAAGACTTCTTCCCTATCCTCATTCTTGACCTGAAGCAACCCACTGGTCGGGCTGTATGTAACCACTGTGAACCCTGGCACTCCCTGTCTCAATGACAGTGCTCTTGCCATAGCAAATCCAGTCCACTGGAGCTGATGCAGGAAAGAATCCTTTGTGTTTTTCCTCAACATTACTCAAAAGGTGCATTAGAAGTGGACAACACAAATCAACCTGGGGCGTGAAGCATCACTGGCCAGATGAGACTAGACATCCAGAAAATGGTTTGGTGCCGCCTCTCTTTAAAGCCAGACTTTAACAACTTCTGATGCTGGACTTTTTGGTAATGAAGATAAAAATCTTATGTAAACCATACTAAGAACTTAGTAGCTTGAAGCAGTGGAAAGACCCATGCTTGGGATATCTGAGCCCCGAGCTTTATTCCTGGCTCTGACCCTGATTTGCTGGATTCTCTCACCTTGACAAGGCTCAGCTCCCCTGTATGTGCTGTCAGGGGCTGTGTTGGATCACCTCCCAACTCTGCTCTCTAGGAGGTTTCCTCTGCTCCAAGAACCAACTACTGACCCAAAAGTGAATTGCTATTGTTCACCAAAGACCAAAAGTGTCCTAGGTGTTTGAGCATGTCAGAGAGCACAGGTTGGGGTTGGGGCACGGTCAGCCAGAGAACTGAAAGCAGAATTTCAGGGAAGGTTTACTGAGCCGAACAAGAGGTGGGGTCTGGGACAGAGAGCTGTGAGGAGCCCCCAGCAGTTCCCACAGCTGCCCCATCCTCTCTGCCCAAGTCTCAGGCAGCAATTGATGGAATCTGAGCTTCAGGAGAAGGGAAGTCTAGCCCTGGCTAGGAGGGACCTTGAGCATCTCCCTTCCCTTCTCTGGACCTCAGTTTCCCCACAGGATTTGTCCCGCAGGGGAGGGGATCTTTCTCCTGCACCACGTCTGGCTTGAGCTGGGGGGAAGGGAATACTTGGTGGGTGACCAAGGAGTTTCCTTTTTTGACTCCAGATTCGCCTGCCCACCCATCCAGCCCGCCAGGCCCTGGTCCAGGATCTTCCTCGCTCCATGCGGGTGTACTTCCCTGGGACCCTCTCCTGTCCCTCTCGGTCTGGGATCCCTCTCCCGTTCCCGCCCAGGCCATGTACCTGCGCCGCGGGCCCCGCCGGGCTGACCGACCCCGGAGTAGGGCACGCTGGCGGGAGCAGCCGGAGCGGGGCGGCGTCCGGGGCTGCCCCCTGGGCCGCGGGTCCCCAACCTGCGTAAGCCCGGGCGGGCCATGGGGCTGGGGGCGGCGGGGGGCGGTGGCAGCAGCAGCAGCGGCCAGAGCAGGAAAAGCAGTCCCGGGAGGTGGCGCGGCATGGTGGGCTCCGCGCTGCTGCCCGTGTCCGTCGGTGGGTCGTCGTTCAGTGGCTGGGTCAGTGGCGGGCGGGTGCCAGGTTCCTGGGCGGCCAATTTAAAGGTCCCGCGGCTGCGGGCCCCGCCCCTGCAGCCTGGGGTCCCGCCCCTCGGCTTTAGGCCCCACCCCTCAGCCTAGGCCCCGCCCGTGAACCCGTCCAGGGCAGCGGGCCGCCTGGTCCAGTGCATTCCCGCGGCGGACCTGGAATGTCTGGGGCCCGTCGGCCAGCGGCGCGGTGCCCGACCCCGGCCCGCCGCCGCTCCGGTCTCGTCTGGGTGGGCTCGGCCCGCTGCCTCCTGGCCGGGTTCTAGCCCTCTCGAAATTTCTGCCTGGCCATACACCTGGGGCCTGGTCGACCCCCAACTCGCCCTCCTGACCCCCAGGCTCCCAGTTCAGGAGGCCCAGGCTTCACGGTCCAGGTCCATCCAGGTTTGCCCACCTCAGAGTTTCCCCTCGCTCCTCACAACTACATGTTTTTCCCCAGCCAGGGAACCCAAGTTTTGCTGTGGGCTCTCCTAAAAAAAAAAAAAAAAAAAAACCAACAAAAAACACCTCACAGATTCTAGCAGTGTGAATAGAAATACTTTCATCCTAACTTCAAACATCCTAAACATTTGAACTTATATTACCAGGAATAGAAAGTCAAACATACGTTTCCCCAGAGAGCCCTCTTTGAGCTGGAAGGACAGCCTGTACCACAGGCTTCAAAGGCTCTCCCTCCATCCCACTTCCTCCCCCAGGGGTGATGGTGGTGGCAGCGCAGGGCTGGAGCCCACCCAGGGGACCCTCCAGGAACTCGTAACCCATGGGTAGAGAGAGAAGCATCAATGGTGTACCTGTCTAAGGAAATATACTGAGGTCAAGGAGAGACTGGCTCTGCCTGAGGAAACCAGGAAGGCTTCCAAAAGCGGGTCACCGCTGAGCTGGACGGTGAAACACGGCAACGAACGTGAGTCCCAGCAGAGCCTGTGTAGTCTTCCTACTTTCAGACTATTGCCTTTTAATATCTACACTCCACATAGTAACCTTAAGATCTCTTCTTAAACCTTGCAACTTCACTTCCAGTAAACTCCAAACTTCTTTGCGTGGCCGCCACCTCTACCACACTGACCACATCTGAAACTGTGCTCTTCTCTCCATGCATCAACCACACTAGGCTTTCCCCTTGTCCTGGAGGACGCCAAGCTTTTTTCCACCTTGTGGCCTTGGCACTGGGACATCCCTATATCTTAGTTTTTTCAAACTTATTTTTACCACTATCCACTGTGTTGGTGGTGGTTTAGCCACTACGTTGTGTCTCACTCTTGAGACCCCATGGACTGTGGGTTGCCATTTCCTTCTCCAGGGGATCTTCCTGACCCAAGGATCGAACCCCAGTCTCCTGCATTGCAGGAGGATTCTTTACCAACTGAGCCACCAGGGAAATCCAACTATCCACTGTAACAGCTACATTTTATATCATAAACTGAGAGTGACATAAATATCTAGTAGGGTTGTGTACAACAGAAATAGTAGTTTCCTGAAACAGTATTTACCCTTACCACATGTGACAGACTCTAATTAATCTGCTTTATTCATGTTCATTCAGTTCTGTTTCATTTTTTTAAAAAAACATCTAAACAGAGTTCATGATTCACTATTTCCCAGTCAGCAGTTTGAAAACCTGTTTTAATTAGATTCTTTCCTACTCTTTCTTCCTTTACAATTTATTATGGTATCAATACCTGTGTTTCATGTATATATACATATATAAGTATCAATATCTGTGTGGTTCACATATATATAAAGTGTACTATATATATATATGTACATGCTGCTGCTGTTGCTGTTAAGTCACTTCAGTCGTGTCCGACCCTGTGTGACCCCATAGACAGCAGCCCGCCAGGCTCCTCTGTCCCTGAGATTCTCCAGGCAAGAATACTAGAGTGGGCTGCCATGTCCTTCTCCAATACATGACAGTGAAAAGTGAAAGTGAAGATGCTCAGTTGCGTCCGACTCTTAGCGACCCCATGGACTGAAGCCTACCAGGATCCTCCGTCCATGGGATTTTCCAGGCAAGAGTACTGGAGTGGGGTGCCATTGCCTTCTCCAACATATGTATATATATTGTATTTATTTCTTTACCCCACTCAACTGTAGGCTCCAGGAGCATAGAGCTGATGCCTGCATTGTTCACTGCTGAATTGCTGTAAATTCTCCCTTACTGTGTGCAGGTTTACAGTCTACAGTAGGACCAGGATTTCAGGAAATATTAATAAAAGTTCACAAACAGGGCTGATATTTAGCCCTACCTTGGCAGGATAGTAAATAGGCATGATAGATAATTTGTCAGAGAAGAAATAACCTGGCATTACTTTTTCCAAGAGTCGAAGGATGCTGAGGAAATGGCTTTGCTCCGTTTCACTCCACTGCCTGACAAGAGCGGCTCTGTGCTGGGCAAGGGCTCTGCAGACAGGCCCTTCCTCTGGCCTCCTCTAGCGGGGGAGTTGGTGTTCCTCCACCACAGGCTCCTTCTCTGAAGAAATGCAGGGGGAGAAGCAACATGAACTGTAATGGTCTGTTTCAGCACATTTGCAGGTAGGCACATGTAGAGAGTAAATCTATTTGGTTAGGTTAGGGAGTAAATCATGGGTAGCTTCCTTTAAAAACTCACTTTACTACTGCTCTCTTATTTTTACAGTTTTAAGAAACTGTTTCTTTATCACTCCACTCTAGCTCAGTTATGCTCTGGTAACGAATGACTCCAAAATCTCAGGGTCTTCTAGCAACAAAAATACTTCTTGCTCTGTTATGTGTCTTTCATAGATCTATATCTGCATGCCAGCACTCAGACTTAAGGGGCAGCCTCAATCTGGAATATGCTGGTCTTGAGATAAAGGGGAAAAAGGAGAGATGGAAGAGCCAGATGACAGATCTGTGATGATTTATTATTCTTTCCCTAGAATAAACTGCTAGGGTGGAAAGTCTGAATGAACAGGGCTTCTTTGGTTGTGTACCATCTATGTCAGAAATTTCGTCTGATGTGGTTTCAGCTACCACTCCTCTGGTGCTGTGCTTAATAGTTCAGTCGCGTCCAACTCCTTGTGACCCCATGGACTGTAGCCCGCCAGACTCTTCTGTCCATGGGGATTCTCCAGGCAAGAATACTGGAATGAGTAGCCATGCCCTCCTCCAGGAGATCTTCCCAACCCAGAGATCAAACCCAGGTCTCCCAAATTGCAGGCAGATTCTTTACCATCTGAGCCACCAGGGAAGTTCCAAAATCTGGGTCTCTTGTCCTAATCCTGCTCCTGGGAAGTAGAACTCCATCAATTACCCTTCCTGTGGCACTCTATTCACAGATAACAAAAGTACCCCAAGGTCAAGCATTTCCAAGAGTGAACTTATCCTCTCCTCTTCAGCGAACTTCCTCTCCTTTATTCTCCTCATTTCTGCCAGTGATACTGTAATCCTTCCAGCCACACAGGCATGAAGGTTTGGTGTCCATTTCCCCCTCTTGAGCTTTTGGTATTAAATAAGTTATCAAGTCATCTACCCCACATCTTCACCGGTTCATACCTGTCCAATTCTCAAGGCTTATCTCAAATCACATCACTATAGGAAGTCTATTCTTATCTTTCCAACCAGATATGATCCTCAAAGGAGAGGGAGGGGAAGACAAGAAGAAATATGTGAAGAAATAATGGCTGAAAAAGTTTCCAAACTTGATGAAACCTATAAACCCACAGATCCAAGGTCAATGAACCCTAACCACAAGAAACACACACAAGGGATAGTTAGGGATTTGGAAAGGTCATGTATACACTGCTGTATTTAAGACGATAACCAACAAAGACCTATTGTATAGCACATGGAATTCTGCTCAACGTTATGTGTCATCTTGGATAGGAGTGGAGTTTGGGGGAAAATGGATACATATATATCCATGTATATGTATGGCTGAGTCCCTTCACTGTTCACCTGAAACTACCACAACATTGCTGATTATCTATATCTCAATACAAAATAAAAAGTTTAAAAACACACACACACAACATAAAAAATGCATGTAATGTAAAAAAAATGTACAATCAAGGAACATCATAAACAAATTGCTCTAAATCAGTGATAGAGAAAAACTTTTAATTACCTGAAGGAAAAAAAAAGAGAGAAAGAGAGGCTTTCCATATAGAAGAACAAAGTTAAGGAAGACAGCAATTTTCTCAGTGGAAACTATGTGTCCAGAAAGATAATGCAGCCACATCTTTAAAGTCCCAAGTGAAAAAAAACCTGACAACCTAGAATTCCATACCCTGGGAAAATAGCTTTTGAAAACATAGGTAAATCAAAGACATTTTTAGACATGCAAAAGCCAAAAGAATTCAGCAGCAGCAGAACCATGCTGGGGGGGGGGGGGGGACACAGAAAAAAGTAACACATGTCCTCTGGCTCAAGAATGATAACAGATGGAAATGTGTACCCCTATGAACGGAATGAAGAGCACTAGAAATGATAACTGAATGGGTATATATGGAAGTTTTAAAATTATTTTTCTCTTTAAAAGATAATTAACTCTTTAACCAAAAAAAAAAAAAAAAGTCATAGAAGGTCAGAGGAAGAAGGAATCTGGGCAGTCACTTGTTTGCAAAGAGTTATTTACTAATTTCATTCAACTGATGGGAGGGCCAGGAATATAAATCAGCTTTCCTGGTGCCTTATTCGGATTTTGAGCTACCTAACTGAATGATGACAGATACAAAACTCCTTTCTAACAGACCAGAAAACAGTTACTCTTTTTCTGGTTTCCAGGTCAAATACTTCCTCTTCAGGCCTTCCTTTACCTATTCCTTGCTCAACACAGCCCCTCATGATAATATTTGCACAGTGCTTTATAACTGCCAACCTTTCCATGTCTGTTACCTCATTTGATCCTAAGAACAACTCCAAGAAGTCCATAGGCCAGGAATTTGCATTTTCTTGATTTTACAGATGCAGAAACTGAAGCTCAGATCCCAGTTAAATTTCCCCAAGATGAGAGAGCAATAGCTTGGTGACACAAGGAATTGAATTTCATCCTTCTGACTCCAGATCCTGTGCTCATTCCAACCATTCTGCCTCTCACATGTCCTTATTCCATTAGGTGGCAACATTCTCTTGCTTGTAAATTATTTTCTCATACTTAAAAGTCGTGACTTTACTAAAAAAAAAAAAGCAACCTCAGAAAAGCAAAATTACAACTTTTTCTTTCAGTCAACCCTTGGGCTTATTTATAACATATTCCTCCTCTCAGCAAAAGGAGACCTGAAAATGGCACACTTAGCATTTGCCTACAAGGAACATTGGAACGATTCCATGATGACCGAACAAATTAGTCACAGATTGGAAAACAGGGCGATTGGTACACCATCGAACAAGGAATAAAATGTACAGTTTATCAATGGGAGATTTCTTGGTCTCATTTTTAAGACCCTTTAAATGTAGGCGTGGGGGTTTCCTTGGTGGTTCAGTGGTTAAAAATCTGCCTTGCAATGCAGGGAACAGGGGTTCAATCCCTGGTCAGAGAAGATCCCACATGCCTTGGAACAGCTAAGCCCATGCGCCACAACTACTGAGCTCCAATCTCTATAGCGTGCAAGTCGCAGCTGCTAGGCCTGTGGGCTGCAACTACTAAAGCCCTAGAGCCGGTGCTCTGCAAGAGTAGCCACTGCAATGAGAAACTTGAACACCAAAATGAAGAGTGGTCCCAGCTTGCCGAAACAAGAGAAAGCCTGTGGGCAGTAACAAAGACCCAGCACAGCCCAAAATAAATAATCTTTTTTAAAAATTAATTAAATGTAAGTGTGCTGTGGCCCACTTATAGCCATGAAATTATAAAGCCAAATTTATAGCCATGAAATTAAAAGATGCTTGCTTCCTGGAAGAAAAGTTATGACCAACCTAGACAGCATATTAAAAAGCAGAGACATTACTTTGCCAACAAAGGTCCATCTAGTCAAGGCTATGGTTTTTCCAGTGGTCATGTATGGATGTGAGAGTTGGATTATAAAGAAAGTTAAGCACCAAAGAATTGATACTTTTGAACTGTGGTGTTGGAGAAGACTCTTGAGAGTCACTTGGACTGCAAGATCCAACCAGTCCATCCTAAAGGAAATCAGTCCTGGGTGTTCATTGGAAGGAATGATGCTGAGGCTGAAACGCCAATACTCTGGCCACCTGATGCGAAGAACTGACTCATTTGAAAAGACCCTGATGCTGGGAAAGATTGGAAGGTGGGAGAAGGGGACGACAGAGGATGAGATGGTTGGATGGCATCACTGACTCAATGGACATGTGTTTGAGTATACTCCGGGAGTTGGTGATGGACAGGGAGGCCTGGCGTGCTGCAGTCGCCGGGGTTGCAAAGAATCAGACACAACTGAGCAACTGAACTGCCTGAAATTTATACTAAAAATAATCTATTACCAGTGAAAATTTTGTGGAGACAAATTATTTCATTCAGTGAACATCCCGCTGCACCCTACCCCCCACACCTCCAGTTTGTGTAGGTCACTGAACTAAGTGCTATGGTGCTGCTGCTGCTGCTGCGTCACTTCAGTCTTGTCTGACTCTGTGCGATCCCATAAACGGCAGCCCACCAGACTCCGCCATCCCTGGGATTCTCCAGGCAAGAACACTGGAGTGGGTTGCTGTTTCCTTCTCCAATGCATGAAAGTGAAAAGTGAAAGTGAAGTCGCTCAGTCGTGTCCAACTATTAGCGACCCCATGGACTGCAGCCTGCCAGGCTCCTCGGTCCATGGGATTTTCCAGGCAAGAGTACTGGAGTGGGGTGCCATTGCCTTCTCTAAACTAAGTGCTATAGATGGAACAAAAAAAGAAAAGGCCTTATTGCCAAGTTGTTCACTAAGAAACTCAGATACACTTAACATGAGCTGTAATGGAGGTAAGTAAGTACTCCAGGAAAAGAGGCAGGCCAACTCAACAAGTCATTCTCCAAAGCCAGTTCACCGAAGTTCATTCGTCAGATGATCAGAGAGAATGGGAGAAGGCCATGGCAACTCACTCCAGTACTCTTGCCTGGAAAATCCCATGGACGGAGGAGCCTTTTGCAGCTACACTCACAGTGATAAACTGGAAAAGTGAAGCAAGATGCCCAAAAACCACAACAGTGGCATGGAAGAATGCAGATGTAGACAGCTAGAGAAGGATACTGAATAGATTTTTAAAAGAAAGTGAAGTCACTCAGTCGTGTCCAACTCTTTGCGACCCCATGGACTGTAGCCTACCAGGCTTCTCCATCCATGGGATTTTCCAGGCAAGGGTACTGGAATGGGTTGCTATTTCCTTCTCCCCCACCCAGGAATCGAACCCGAGTTTCCCTAATTGCAGGCAGGCACTTTACCCGCTGAGACACCAAGTGAAGTCCCTCAGTCGTGTCTGACTCTTTGTGACCCCATGGACTGTAGCCTACCAGGCTCCTCCATCCATGAGATTTTCCAGGCAAGAGTACTGGAGTGGGTGGCCATTTCCTTCTACAAAAAAAAACAATACTGGAGTGGGTTGCCATTCCCTTCTCCAGGAGACCTTCCCAACTCAGGGATTGAACCCGGGTCTTCCGCACTATAGGCAAACGCTTTACCGTCTGACCACCAAGGAAGCCCTTAAAAAGGTAAGACAAAACTTAATAAAATATTTTGAAGGCCAAACAGAAGACAGACTTTGAAGGTTGGGTGGTTGATAACACTCAATGATAAAAAACAAAAACTGAAGTTAGGATAATAGAACTCTGTCAATTAGGAGGGCATCAGTATCTCATGAGGCAGTCTTATGGGAACGAGAATGGAACTTAGGTGTCAAAATGATGAAATGTATGAACTACTCACAATGAAAGTGGTTTTTTTGTTTTTGTTTTTTTTTAACTCTTTATATTTTGGTTGCTTTGGGCCTTAGTTGCAACTCTCAGATCTTCATTGTGGCATGCAGACCCTTACTTGTAGCTTGCAGGCAGGACCTAAGTTTCCCAGGACCTTGATTCCCATGGATCAAACCTGGACACCCTGCACCGGGAGCTCAAGAGTCTTCTCCTCTGGACTACCAAGAAGTCCCAAAGTTGCTTCATATTTTAAAAGACAGGGCTAAACATTTATCTTTCAGTGTTATCTCTATCTGGATTTTAGAATCAAACATACTATGTAACCCACTAAAATTTTTCTCTAGCACTAGCAGAGGGGAAAAAAAATTAACTATTAAATAGGAAATAGTTTTGGCATATTTACTAGGATATTTAACGTTAGGTAACAATAGATTTCCCTCTACTGGAAAATGACTGCTTAACAGTTTTCTCTTTCCTGGGGGCAGTAATTAGGATTAACATTATGACTGTTCTCTACATAAAGTCTAAGGCCTGTCCTTTCCCAAAATACAAAATGTGCCTTGAATGAAGTAGTGATCACAGGCCATAATGGTCCACCATTCCCATTCCAAGGAGAAAAACAATGCCAGGTCGGGTCGACCAAGCTTGGTTATGGCTGTTCTCAAAGTGCCAAAAATCTGTGGCAGTCTGAGTTGCTTATAATGGAAAACGTTGGGTTTCAACAAAAAAAAGGGTAATAGATTAAAAACAACAATAAATATTTAAGAGATTTATTAAAGCATCTTATCTCAAAGATGGAAACACATACAAATTAGAAACATGCAACCATCATTTTCCACAGTCAAGTTAAAAGGTTATATATTTTTCCTATTTTCATAGCTGAAAACTTCAGATCTTAAACTGAACTTATTCACCCTGAATATTTAACTCATTCTTCCTGAAAGTATCCAGGGCAGCGAATAACCAAAATGCAAACTATTATATAAAGAAAGTGCAAAGTTAAAAAAGAATATGTGTAGAGAATGCCCCCTTCCCACCCACCCCCAACCAAAGGCAAACAATGGCACTTTGCTCTTGCTTAACCTAGATTGTCTTAAAAAACTACTAAAATGTAACATACTTAACAACAACAAAATCTGACTTTTAATACATATCCAAAAAGCTTGTTAGTGTTTGAAAATAAATGCTTAAACAAAGGAAAATGTACTTTGTATCAAACAAGTATGATGAGCCCTGTGTTGCAGCATTCTGTAAAATGAACAAGACAAAAAGCTGGTATAGGGTTTATTGACAAAGGCAGAATTTCTTCAGGCAGGTATGTATGGAGGTGGTGGTTCTTTCTCAGGCATCTTCACTGCCATTTCATAGGTTGGCAAAACATACTGAAAAGAGACAAGAAAAAATTATATTGGATTTAATTCTCCTTTAAATTTCTATCTTAATAACTCAGGTTTCAGATTTAATATCTTAAACAGGGGTATACCAACCCACAGAGGAGAGCTAAAGAAACTGTTAGCTAAGTACACCTGACTCTCAGGATACCTGACCCTTGAGCAATGAGAGCTTTAGGGGAGCCAACACTGCACACAGTCAGCCCTCCGTATCTGTGGTTCCACATCTATGGACTCAATGCAGACTGGGTAGTATTGTAGTATTTCCTACTGAGAAACATCTACATACTAGTGGATTTTCTAGTTAAAAGCTGTGGTGTCCAAGGGTCAACTATAGTTCTTGGGAGTAGAGATAACTAATAACATGGAGCTTTACATGCAGGGGATATGTCTGATTCAAGATCACTAGAGAGGATAACAGAAGAGGAAGGTAAGAAGGGAAGGCAGAAACAATTTTGCTTCTGAACAGACCCTGAGTTCACCAGGACACCCTGATAGGCAACATGTAGTGCCCTCCCCTCACTCCACTGTGACTGATAAAGCAGCCAGGCCAAGTCACCTCAGGAATGGAGGGTCTGGGCGAAGGGCCCGCTGAACCCTGCTACAGGAACCCTCCAGTACAAGGCTGTATTTTATCAGAATCTGTAGTCAAAGCATCAAGCACTTGTATCGCCTGCTCTAAGGTGAAGGGCATACCTAAGTAAAAAGTGGCATTTTTAAGCTAAGTGACTCCAACGTGACAGGCTGATGCTACATGGGCCATATATACTCTACATGCTGGAAGGCAATACAGCAGCAACTAGAGGGTCTGAGAAGGAGGCCTCCCAACAGACTCTTGGAACCTACTGCATTCTTCTCCCTACAGGAAAGTCAGCTTCCCCTTTGGATCCTATGGATGTTTTTGGAAAACACCACAAGCTTCAGCTGATGGTATCCTATCGTCAGAAGTTCCAGAAGCCAAGGGCCTGGCATCACTCATACCGCTGTTCACTGACTCGTCTCCCCCTCAAAATGCAATACTTGGAGACTGACCATGAGTCAAAACCATTGGCCGGATGGAATGAGATGAGCAGAGCAGGGTGTTTCCAGCCCACATACCCGGGATTCCAACTGGGAAATGCTAAAACTTGTAGATTTAAGCTATTCGTACCCTAAACCATACTTACAGCATTGAAGAGAAAGTCAAGGTTTAGATTCTTCTTTTGGGAATTCTCAATAATGGCTAGTGAAGCTTTAATATCATAAAAGATCATTCACCTGTGGAGGTGCCTCAAAGGCCGGGTACACAGCAATCTCTGGCATGTTTCTGTTGTTGATGTATTTATAACAGTTCCAAACACAGTTAATCAGATAAGCCTAAAGGAATACAAACAAAATTTACATATACTCGGAACTCAGCTGTATGTAAAATTACAGTTTTAATGTGGCTGCACCGCGCAGCCACTGGCGGCAATTGCCTTTTCTTCTTTTAGGGCTTCCCAGGTGGCTCCACTGGTATAGCACCCGCCTGCCTGAGCAGGAGATGTAAGAGATGCAGGTTTGATCCCTGGGATGGGACGCTCCCCTGGAGAAAGAAATGGCAACCCACTCCAGTATTCCTGTCTGTAAAATTCCATGGACAGAGGAGCCTGGTGGGCTATAATCCACGGGGTTGAACAGAGTCAGACACAACTGAGCAACTAACTTTATTTTTTAATTTATAAATTTAATTTTAAGTTTACCTGCTCTAAAATTAAGGAGTCTTATAATGCTCTCCCCACATTTTTTCCATAGAGAAGGGAACCGGCATCCACTTGGACCAAGTACAGGCCAGCTTTCCCTATATGCCCTCACTTAAATGTCACAAGCTTTATCACCACTGCTTTACAGAGAAACCCAAGTCTGGGAGAGCTGTGAGAAGACACGGCAACAAGAAGGTCTGGAAGGACACTCTCACAGTCCAAATGCCCCCCTTCCCCACCAAATAGTCAGCAACTCACCTTAAAAATGATGAACAAGGCAAAGAACACAAGAACAATGAACAGGAGGCAGCTGGAGTCCAATGCCAGGAGGTCATCTTTATAGGGAAAATCAGGCTATAAAAAAAAAGGCAGGGATGAATAGGCAAAGCAGAAAAGGAGTTCTAGAGTCCTCGAGCAGAGTGCCTTGCACATAGGAAGCAATCAATAAATGTTTTTTTGAATGAACAATAAGTTTGCAGTATGCAAGATGGACTCTCTAAAGTAAGTTGCAATAAAATACCTAAAAGACGCATTTTTGAAACTACTTTTCATTTATCTGGATCCTACACCTCTATCCACCAGACCTTATTTCAGGCCACAGTGTTCCCAGCCCCTCCATCCCATAGCATTAACCTTTGCTCACTTCCTGCTGTCATGGAAAAGCCCTAGTTTATTATTACAAATAAGATTTTCATGTCTTAACTCCCCAAATACATGGTTTACTCCTTGAAGAGAAGGATGTTATATTTATACACCATATACCAACAGTTTGCCTAGGATAGAGTGAAGAATACAGGAGGCACTCACATATTTGCTATAGATGCTTGCAAAGACAGACGGTACAGTCTCTGACAGTACCAATGAGTACAACTCCAAAGAGTGCCAAACACAGTCCAATTATTTATTTACTTTTCATACACTCAGAAGTTGAACTACTCCTTAAGTTCTATGATATCCATCTTTAAGGACTTTTAATATTTAGTTATCCACATGTAAGAAGATATTCTATTTTCATCTTTTTTATTTCAATATGGTCAGTAACAGTAGCAATGATAATTACTTTAAAACGCTTTAAAAAATCGTAGATTAAATAAAAATAGTACCCAAAAGCTTTGATTTTTAACAAATGAAAAAAATTTTTAAAGTTTTATTAGCATACACACTTACTAACTGATCCAGATATTCTTTGATTCTTGGCAAATAAGTCAGAGAACTGATAGCAACCAGGCAGCTGAGAACAAAGTCAAAAAGCCGGTAACAGAAGAACGGAATCAGCCAACCCACTTGATACTGAGGGAAAAATAATAATCACAACATTACATCACATATATGGAATGACTAAGTACCACGCAGTAAAAGTCAAAACTCTAAAAGAAAAGTATAGAATACTTACAGAAATTGCTCCGTATACCAGCATTGAACTGATTATAAACATAAGAACAGACACAGCAAAAAGAACACAGGCATTATCTATGAAAACAGAAGCAAAAATCTAATTAAGCTACTTATATAACAAAAAGCATAACTCTTTATGACAAAATGTTATTAAGTAACGAAGCTTAAGAAATTCATGCCTTAAAAAAAAAAAAATTTCATGCCTTTGCTCTTTCTTATTTGTTAAACTGCTACAACTCATGGCCACTGATTTAGGACAGCACATGAACCTGGTACTCTGCCAGAGACAGCTCTCTGTCCAGAGTCTAAGTTTTGAATATGGGCAAACAGATAATTATAATGCAATGTGGCAAGTGCTACAACAGAAGCAAAAAAACAATTAGTTTTGCCTTTAGCATCAGGGAAAAAATATAAATGAAATAACACAAGTTGAGTCTTGTGAGATAAGCAGGGTTCAACCGGAGCAAAAGGTTGGTATTTGTTTAAACACGGAGTTGTACAGACGCCCCCTCTTGTCTAAGATAAATCTCCTGCAAGTCAAAGTTCTCCCTCAATCCCTCTTTTCCACCTCAACATCCAAACTCCCTGCTCCGCATCCCTTCACCACGGCTTCTTGGCTATATCCAGGTCTATTTTTTTCTTTGTTCCTCAATCCTTCCTCGGGTTGCTGCCTTTCTCTACGTTAATCCACGTCCACTAAACTTTTTCACAAAGTGCTCATGTAATCTCAAACAAAACAAACCAAAAAGCACCCACACTTGACCTGATGAGCTTCTTAGCACTGTAAGAGTCTAAAGTTGATTCTCTGGCTCTGGCTAGATATCAAAACCTGAAAGGCACTAATGACAATGAATGATTAGACTACCTGCTCAGTGTTCACACTAGTGGCTAAGTGTTATGTATCACTTGGAAATACAAACAGCATCAGTATCTGGCACTGAACTAAGAAGACCTCTCTCTAAATTTTCCTAGAGGATATAGGACAACTAAAAGTTAAAGATTTAAAGAACTTCCCTGCTGCAGCACACAATGGCTCTCAAAGGGAAGAATTCAGATATAAACAAACTTGAAAGCAAAATGTGTAATTCAAACAATTAGCTTTCAAAAATCCGTTACTGGAAGACTACGAGTTGATTTAGACTTCTTAAAATACTGAAATAATTAAAGTAAAGCTCAACGTCTTCCACTGGAGCAACAAATAGCAAAACAGAGGAGAGATGGGGTGGTGGGTGCAAAACACATTTAATGCCTGGAACAAGGGACATTCCAGTAGGTGTCAATCAATAAAGCAAGCAAAACAAGAGGGGCTCAAAGCCCAGAGAAGATCCTCAGATTTGCACCATATTCAGAACCTCCTCTGGGAGGTCCCAAGTGTTTACCCATCTCCTAGGTGAGTATAACTAACAATAAATTCCTATCTGAAAAACAGCTTGCATATGCTGCAGAAGTATTTCATATAAACTGAGTGTTATAGCCTGTTTGGCTGATTAAAAATAATTAATCACAAACTTCATTTTTTAAAAAATTGGTTATCAGGCCAGTGATCAGAAATTAACTTTCCTTCGCAACACCGGGTCTGTAGGAAGGTAAAATTTTACCTTCCAAAGAAATACCAACTACTGTATTACCAAGAACTATGTATTTTTATATTTGCTTACATTCATTGGAAGGACTGATGCTGAAGCTGAAACTCCAATACTTTGGCCACCTGATAAGAAGAACTGACTTATCTGAAAGACCCTGATGTTGGTAAAGATTGAAGGCGGAAGGAGAAGGGGACTACAGAGAATGAGATGGTTGGATGGCATCACCGACTTGATGGACATGAGTTTGAGTAAGCTTTGGAAGTGATGGACAGGGAAGCCTGGCGTGCTACAGTCCACAGGGTCGGACACGACTGAGGGACTGAACTGAGCTGAACTGAGGACTTCAGTAGAATATGATCAACAAAAATATAATGAATGTGATTTTCTCTGCAGCAGCAACAACAGTCACGCAACACACAATAAACTTGTGACTTAAGAGCCAGTTGCATAGACCTACAAGAATATCAGTAACCATAAATCTTTTCTACACCTCAATTTTAAGAGCAACATACATGATAAAGGAAAATGCTGACATTAGCAGATTCAGTAAAATTTTACAGCCTAAAGTTTATAAATGCCAAAAAATATCATTATCAGAAGCTAAAGTTTCATTTATTGTTCTATTCTGATTTTTAATTAAAAACAGATTTATTCAGAAAAAAAAAAAAAAATCAAATGCCAGAAGGAATGTTTCCATATATTCTTGGTATCTCTGTATGAATTTGACAGCAAAATTAAAAGATTATATATGTTTGAAAGTAAAACTAGGATACTCATGTAAAAACAAAACAAAAACACTTAAAAAAACACAATATGAACAACTGTGTCATCATACTATAACGTATTATTAATGGCCACAAAACTCTACCTGCTCTAGAGAAATAGCTTAGGCCTGAGGACAATAATTATTTGAATTAATAAGCAAATTTTTTTTAAAAAAGACCACTTCACTAACGGATCAGAGGGGATCATAATGTAAAAATGTGCAGGGTTTATGACAAAAACTAATCTAAAAATATGATAATTAAGATCCTGTAATATTATAAATATAAAACACATGTGAACTGGGAACATTTTTCTGAAGAAACTGTTCACACTAAAAGTCTGAAGCATAATTTTCTGTTCAAATATTAAATTTTTAACATGATTTTTAATGTAAAATTAAAACTGCATTTTAGAGAAAAATAATAAAAATACTATTGGGAATAAATAATTTTAAAAAGTAATTTCCATGAATGTTCTAGGAATAATCTATTTTTAAGTCCAATATCAAATCTTCATCTAAACAATAAAAATATATTGAGAATTGAGACCCTGAGCAAAAGATACCACCAAATATTCAAATAATTCGTATTCTATATTTTACTGTAGGATTGTGCTCCATGAGCAAACCTCCCATCCTCTACTATACTTACCAGCTGACCCTCAAAGACTCAGTCTTCTAATTTCTTCTCCCCTCCTCTTTCCACAGTATTTCAATGCAGACAATGCACATTTCTCAGAAATCTCCTAGCAGTCCACTAGATCTTCTGACTACAAATGCTCAACTCTTTGAGTATTTCTGAAAAGCCTACACACACATTTTGTGCCTCAGCAAGTATAACAATCAATCCTTTACCTAACAAGTGTGTGTTTGTGTGTGATTAGCAGGCGAAAATTTCAACTAAAAACATACCAGCCATTCGCTCAGACGAATAGTAATTGCCAATGACTTCATACTGAATGTTGACAGCTGGCATTGAGTTTGGGTGTGTTACCTCCACAGTCAGCAGAATTGCCATCAACAGGTTGACCACCTATGAAAGATAACATTTTATCAACTATATTATTAATCAGGAAGCAGTCCCCAACACAATCTTTAGATATCCTCTATTTAACTATCATCTTCCCTGAAGTAACAAAGACATAAAATGGGGACTATCTGTGAGATAAAATACACGACTTTAAAAACACTTAAAATATTTCATAAAGTATAAACTTAGTCATTTCAGAGAAAAGATGTTGGACTGATCCTATATTAATAAAACAATTAAAAGGCACAACAATGAAAAATGAGAGATCACAAATTGCTCATTTAAGTCACATATTTATTCATATTCCTATCTCAGAATTTCTGGATTTGAAGAAGCTGATCAATCAGATAAATATAATTTCCAAGTCGAGGTACGTAATGATCCATCAGGTTAAGTCTAAGGCCTCTCCACAGTATCTCCTGTACACTGGTAAGGAATTGTTTCCTCTTGAGCTACACTCAAATGCTTAAAAAGACTGACTATATCACTTAACTTCCGCCTGCTGGTCTTAATTCTATGGTTTGAGATATTTTGTTATCCCGTCTGAATAAGTGCTCCTCTAACACCTCAGTTCAGTCGCTCAGTGTGTCTGACTCTGCAACCCCACGGACTGCAGCACACCAGGCTTCCCCGTCCATCACGAATCCCGAAGTTTGCTCAAACTCACATCTATCGAGTCAGCGATGCCATCCAACCATCTTGTCCTCTGTCATCCCCTTCCCCTCCTGCCTTCAATCTTTCCCAGCATCAGGTCTTTGCCAATGAGTCAGCTCTTCAAATCAGGTGGCCAAAGTACTGGAGTTTCAGCTTCAGCATCAGTCCTTCCAATGAATATTCAGGACTGATTTCCTTGAGGATGAACTGGTTGGATCTCCCTGCAGTCCAAGGGATTCTCAAGAGTCTTCTCCAACACCACAATTCAAAAGCATCAATTCTTCGGCACTCAGCTTTCTTTACAGTCCAACTCTTACAACCATACATGACTACTGGAAAAACCATAGCTTTGACTAGATGAACCTTTGTCAGCAAAGTAATGTCCCTGCTTTTTTTTTAATATGCTGTCTACTAGGTTGGTCACAGCTTTTCTTCCAAGGAACAAGAGTCTTTTAATTTCATGATTGCAGTCACCATCTGCAGTGATTTTGGAGCCCCCCAAAATAAAGCCTCTCACTGTTTCCACTGCTTCCCCCTCTATTCGCCATGAAGTGATGAGACTGGATGCCCTGGTCTTAGTTTTCTCAATGCTGAGTTTTAAGCCAACTTTGCTCAACGAACTAGTAAAATGAGAGAAGATCAATCTGATCACAGCACATCAGGATCTCAGATCCCACATCCTAACTAACAAATTTCAATCAACATGTCTGAAACAAATTTCAATTAACACAGTCTGGTTCTCTTATGCACTGGCTGCATAAATCTTTTAGGTGTCACATGAGTGACTCCCTAAAACTCCCAATTCTTTTTCACACTTGATCCTGCGAAGCTACCACCTATATCTACCTGTAGAGTTGGATTCAGAGGCCCAAGCATAAGCCCTTATATATTATCTGCAATCAAATTTCATCTTATAACATTCTTGCCTATCAATATTTTCTCCATCTGAATTCTGACACCCTATGGATAGATTTTTGCTCTCTCAGCTTCCTGCATTTGAAAATATGATTATCATGTAATGAGATTCTCCACCTAAGTCACTAGCAAGAGAACAGGGCTGAGGACAAGCTGCCAGATAGAGGCTCTTCTCTTCCCATTGGTCAGCAGCTTTTGAATAAAGTCTATATCTGATCCAAAATAACATCTAGAGACTTTCTCAAACATCCTGCTGAAATCCTATCACTGGTATCTGGTGAATTTTCCTAGTTTACCAGGGTGTAACTCCAATTCAAAAAGGAAATTCTTTACACCTCTAGTTGTTAGTGAATTACACAGTTATCCCAAGAGGCACCACTTCCTTTAAGTGCTCAAAACAACCCTGCTAATGATTTAAGAACTGGAGTAGGTTTCCCTATCTAAAGTCCACAGCATCTGCCTTCCTTCCCTTTGTGAACATGGGATACTTTCAAGGGACATCTGAGCTTCTTTATCAATAGTGTTTTAAACAATCTCTATCATGGAGCTCTCTTCTGTCCACCCTGAATGATAAACAAGCTTATCAGCTAAAGGCATTTCACATTCTCGAAGACAAGCAGCCCAAGTTTTTTAAATAAGATAAACGTCACAATACCTAATTCAGAATCAATTGATATTTCTGAAGATACACTATAACTCAAGTAAATTTACATATATTATTTGACTATTCTTCACAACAACCTTGTGAAGAAAGTATGACTTATGCTCATTTGCTGACAGTTAAACTAAGGTTCAGCAAAGTGAAATACCATGTGTTAAGCTCACTGAGGTGATAACAGAACCGAGCTAGGATAGCAATCTGATTCTTTTAAAAACATCTTCCTTCTTACTACTACAGGATCACTTATAACCATTCCTAAGCAACTCTTCTTTTGAGATCTTTCCAAAATAAACCATTATCTAAGGCTACAAAATGTTTGCTACTCTCTAAATACATTCAGGTACATGCCTTTTCCTTGCACTGCTCAAAAGCAAGGTATTTCAGCCTTCAACACTTGAAAGATCTTACAAGAGACAATCATATTTTCAAGGTGACTCCCCAGTTGATGGCTGATTTTTAACTGCCCATTTTTATTGCAGTGGGTTTTGAACAGGGTAGGTAATTTATGAGCTAATACAATTAAGTAAATTAACTATTGAACAGTTATCTCTACTAAGACACTGTATATTCTGTGTACGGAAATCAGTTCAAGATCAATTCAGCAAACCCTTCTTTACTAAATACAATACTGTCATAGTTTAAAAGCTCTGTATGGGAAAGAAAAATATTTATGTGAAGAATAACATGCAAACTCAATTACAAAGTGAAGGAAATGACACATCAAAAATATTTAGGAGTTTATTTTTCCTTAAATATTTGCATCACATGTAGGATTTATAAAAATCTTTTCTTCTCTTTCATGGGTACGTCACAGACTCACCCACTATTATCTTCTAGTATTAGTGACACTTCAAGTTTCTTTTCATTGTGAGTCATTCTCCTGAATATTAAACAAAATAAATCATAGGTCTAATCAAAAGAAGCAAGAAATGATAAATTTCAGCACTATTTCATTACAAGCTCAAAAGGATTTTTCAACTCTTCACTGATTAATTATATTTCATTAGCATTTCAATGTAACATTTTAAAGCACTCATCTGGAAAACTCATCCTGTGAGCTTATCTTCACCCAAGTACCTATCCTATGCTCATAGACTCCGTTCTATTTACTTTTGATTAAGTTCCATGCAGCATTTTTCAAAACACAAATAAGATTAACTTTGTGATCTTGTAATATAAAATCGGAAGAGAGCAACTACATACAAACAACTCCAGCATATTTATTCCTGATTCATTTTTCCCTTCTACTGCATTCAAGAAAGAAAATTAGCAAAAAATGTAATTAAAATAATGACTGACTTCTAAATCTAGTCACACGGAAAGGTACAGAATGCCGAAAATATGCATATACATCAACAGCCTGGGCAATGATCACATCCATGCTGAAGGGGTACTGCATTTACTGGGGTAAACAATATGGTTTGTGTTATAAGCCTTTTGCACACTTTATGTAAGTAAACAAACAATAACAAAGAACAGATGTGTCACATTTCACTTGTTTCAAAGGAATAGGATCAGATCTTTGGAAGCACTCAGCCTCGGGAGAATAATTCCTCTTTGCTTCTCATTTCATAGCCACACCCATCCTAGAAGTTTCCTGAGGACTGGTTTTCGTTTATTTTTTTTAAATCCTTATTCTTTAGTTTTCCCATAGCATATTCTGCCACAACCCAACTTCTGCTCAGACTATAATTAGAACAATGTCTTAGGGTATCGCGATAAGGGTCTCAGGCAAGTCAGCAGACAGCTGTCATCAGATAAAGACCAAAACTGACTGTCTTTAAAAATGCTGTTAAATGTGTATGTAGTTAATGTATGCATAACAGCTGTTCACCCTTTTGTGCAGTTACAAATGAGATATTCCTACTAATTTTGGAGGAGACAATTCATTTAACAATAGCCTAATGAATCCTTCAAATGCTCTAATAAGTTACTGTTACACACACATTTTATAGAGAAAGGCATAGCATCTTTCTCCCTGAAAGAGGATATCCTGTTGTAGGGAGAAAAAGTCAAATGTGTAATTAGCATTTTTAATAAGTGCACACAAGAAGTATGCAGTAATTCTTCCAGATAAACAGTGGGGAAACCAGCTGCTTCTGGCTTGGAAGCAAGGAAGCTTCACCAAAAAAAACAACTGAACTATTACAAAACTAACTGAAATTGGCAAAATGGCTGTGAGTAGTTGAAATTGTATAAGTAAATGAAAGGCTTTTATACTATTTCACTCTTTTTATAATTTGAGGTTTTTGTCAATGAAGTTTTTGAAAAGTGTTTGGGGAAACATACTGACTCTGAAATATAAGTAAGCCATACTGATTTAGAGAGTCAGGAGTGAGGACTGGGAAGGAATACAGCTTGAGGAGCCTGTCTTCACTTTTTCCCTAGCTACCTCACTTTTAGACTGTTTATGGTGAAGACACTCATAAAAAATTAGCTATATATTATTACACCTTTCCAAGACCTACAATTTTAAAGTGCTCTAAATGCCTTCCTGTAGTACACCATCAACCATGAAGGAGGACACTGCTGCTGTAGACTTTAAAGCTCATTTTCAACCATTCAATAAACATCTGAACTTATATCTCCTTAGATTGCCAGGATCCCAAAGCCACACTTTTGAACAGCATCAACAATACTATAATCAACAAAACCAATGGCTTTTTCCAACCTAAGAAAATGTTTAAAAATAATCTGGCTTCAAATTTTTCACTAAATGATAGAAAAAACAAATTTATGAACGTCAGAGTTTAATCTGGAACTCATTCTGAAATTCCCTATTATTTAAACTAGGTATTAAGCCAGACATGCTTCTTCAAATCTAAATGCCAAAGGCTAGCACTTCAGGGCTGATACATATAGTAACTGGTTCTGGCTTCACAGTGTCTTCTGCACTATTTACTACCATATAATTAACCCTTTGGTACACAGTGCACAATCACCTAACCTGACCTCAGCAGAAGCAAATGCTAGAAAGCAGTGACACTGTATCCAATAGAAAGTTACTACTACAGCATCTGCAATCAGCAGGATCAAGGACTGCACCCCCGGTTGGTTCCAAGCAGCACGGGGCAACCTCAAAGAGAATCATAAATATTCTCCCACCTGAAATACAGGAAGAAGCGTATCCTGACAAGGTACTTGGACTTCACCCACTCCCATATCATTTCTCTTAGTAAAGAAGCTTCTGGCCAAAAAAAAGTGCTCTGTTTGGACAAGTCCTCTTTGTGTCTTGGTGGTCTTGGTTTTTAAATGTTGTCTCCCCAACAAGGCAGAAATTATGTCTTTACGTTGCCAGGATCCCGAAGCCACAGTTTTGAATGTCACCAGCAATACTATAATCAACAAAACCAATGCCCTTTTCCAATCCTTAACCTAATTTGAATCTGTTATTACTTATTATCTTCTCGTTCCTTGACAAGGCACTTTCAGATCTTTGCTCCAAACTTCATTGCAATGCCATCAGTATCTTAAGGGCAGATGCCACGGTCAAGACAAGAAAACACTTCAGAGTCTCTGTGTGGCAGCTGATAGGAAGACAAAAGATGAATAACACATGTCCCTGTAACTTCTTTTCATATGTGCACCGCGGCCATTTGCACTGTAGCTGAGCAATAGATCTCTTAAAGCAGATGAACTGATGTAAGCAGCATATTATATTCCATGAACTAGAAAAATCCATGTAAAGAAAGAATAGTTCATGGCATCTTTTTACGAAACTAAAGCATGGAAAAACGGAGCTATGCAAAATGTTTTCACATCAAGTCCTTCCAGTGGGAAACAGATGTAAAACTCCCTGTTCTCTATTTTGAAAGAATAAATGCCCTTACTAAAATTCTTCTCTCTGTATGTTGAGTTTCATGGTTTATAACTCCCACTTTTGCTTGCTATTCCTTTCTTTTTTATGAACTGAGTCCATAGCAGCAAAAAAAAAAATCTGCCTTGGAAAGAAACACAGCCAATTACATTCAGATGGCTGAAATTGAGATGGTGCTTACTTTCTTTTCGAGGAGTTAGAGATCCTTTGTTCTGTGAATGGAGGGAAGGATCTGAGAAGAAACGGGAAGATTAAGTTTGCATGGAAGAGTCCCAGGTTGCTGGACTCTTTCTCAACTAAGTAAAAGGGAAGGTCATCTTCCAGGGATGAGGGAAACAAGGTTGAATAGTAAAGAGGACCTCAAAGATTTGAATTATTCATTTAGGGAAGGCAGAGCTAAGAACAAACAAAAGAAACATAGACCCAGTCCTTAAAAAAAATGAACAACAAAATTAGAAATATAATGCATGTCCAGTATTACAAATCAGTTAAAATACAAAAGGGGTGAGGGTCTTTGCGGGAAAGGTGATATAATTATAGCAATATGTTTCTGAAGATGAAAGTAGAGGAAATATTAAAATAAGCTTAGAAACAAGCAAATAAGCCTACCCATTCAAGTTTCGTTTTTAATGTACATTAAAGAAGATGGTAAAAAAAAAAAATGTAAATACGGAATAACGTGGAGTTCAGGTCCCCTGTGCGTGGGCATGAAACTGTATCTGCCTAACTGAAGATGATTCTCATCTTGTGTTTGCCTAACAGTAATAATTTTGATGGAACCTCTGGGTTGGGAATAAATGAGAGCAGAGAAAGGCAAAAAAAAAAAAAAAAAAACCACACACACAAAAGACTATAATATAGCTCTTCCTTTTCTGCAGTTCACAGTTATCAGAAGCTGCATTATCACTTATGCCACAACCTCTCAAAACAAAAACAAATAAAAATTTTAAAAATCACAGTCATTAGCGAAGATGACCAAGCCGCCAAAATGAGAAGTTTGTCAAAACTTCTGTGAAGTCATCATAACCCCAGACTACCTAAACGGAATCACATATTTACAAATCACAAATGAGCTTCAATGAAAATGGATAGTAGTGGAGATGGTGCTAAGAAATCACAAAGGCATTACTAGTGAACCACCAATCAGTAACACTGTCAACCTGGTTATGACACAGAATTACACAAATCCTGCCGCCCCACCCCCACCCAGGGAACGTTAGCACGTTACCAAAACACAGCAGGTTCTAGACAAAGGTCTCAAAAACCTGAATGGGTCTGTGGTGAAAAGCGTCTCACGAGCGGGCAGGAGAAAGCCTATTGCATTAGGAAAAAGGCAGATAGTAAGTAAATCCTGGCCAAAGGTATTAACTCCAAGCGAATTTACAGACTCACAACAGAGACCTGTCTGCCTACATCCCAAACACACTGTAACAAATAAGCTCCAGAAACAAGAGAAAACTGTTCTTAAGCTGGACCTCTCCCTTCAGGTAAGACAATAATGTTTAAAACTAGGTTGCATCTCTGAAGGTGCGCTCCTAATTCTTTCCTGGGGGGGGGGGGGGGTGTTAAAAAAAAATTCCAGGAAGCACTTGACGGGGTGGCGAGGGGGGGAAGTTCCTTTAGATCGCCGAAGCACACAAAAAGATCCCGCAGCCTGGTCATTTCCAGAACTGACCACAGCAAAATCGAGCTCTCTCCTCCCGCAGCCCTCCTCCACCCCAGGCCGCAACGCCAGTGCCTTCCCCAACACCCTTTTCTCCTCTTATTCTTGCCAAAAAAAAAAAAAAAAAAACAATTTCCCTGTTCCCTCCCACCCCTACTCCGATTCCCAGTCACAAATCTCTTCCCCTCCAAATTTAAGAGGCCACTAAAAAGAAGGTCTCCGAGGCCTCCCCGCCCCATCCCCTCCCAGTGGATCCTTTCGTTCGAATACGAGTTCTCTCCCGCTTCCCGCTCCGGCGTATCCTCCCCCCACCATGGCCCCTTTCCTCCCTCCTCGCCCGCCCTTACCATGTACCAGGTCCCCAGGATGATCGTCCCGGTGCGGACATGGCAACAGCCGCAGCACCGGGTGCTGTAGAACCGGTCGCTGCGGCTCCGCTTGAAAGTCATGGACACCATCGGGAACCTCGAGGGCCTCTTTCTTGGCCGGGCCCCTAACAAACGCCTTCCGCCCAGCGGTTGAAGACGGAGAGCGCAGTCACCGAGGCCAAACCAAACGACGCGTCTTCAAGCCCGGCCTCCTGCCCGGGCCCCCAAGCCAAAAGTCTTCGCACCTGCGCACTGAGGGCAGAGCGCTGTTCCCGCGATAGCTCCGTTTACCCCTTTCCTCAGCCTTACCCGCACTCAGGCCAATGGAAGAGCGGGAAGCTAGGCGGAAGCGAGTTTTGATTGGAAAAGCTTAGAGGATTGACAGGATCTCACACCCAATCAGAGACGCAACTCTCCTCGGCGCTAATGGATTCCCCTCCTCTTACTAGACGGCGGGGGCAGGCTCAGGGGCCTAGGATAGTTCGGGTTGGAGAGGGACCCTGGTAGATCACCATCCCCGAGGTGAAAACGGGGAGGTGAGAGGCCTTTAACGGGAAAAAAGAAAGTCTAGATGCAGTAGGTGGCAGAAACCGGGCACGGAGGACTTGTCTGAGTGAATCTGCCACGTACTGCTCGAACGCATCACGGGACCGCGGCTGCTCACGTGACCTTTGCGTCATAGCTCAATTATGGGGCTGGCCAGGGGCGGTGCCCGTGGAGAAGGGGGCGGGGCTAACCCCTGCTCTGGGGCCCTCCTGGCTGCTTAAATGGCAGAGTTTAGAGGGATCAGATGTTAACCTTCCCCTCTCACTCTGGTACCTCTTTGTTGGGAGCGAAGAAATACCATGCTACTCTGCCAGAGAAGAAAAGAATTGAGGAAAACATAGGGCAGAACTGTTTAGCTGCTGGGTGTTTACAGATTGAGTGACTTTTATAAGGAAAAATTGTGAAACATAATGAAATGGACTGAGGTTCATGGGGGTCTTCCATGAAAAACGGGCCATAGTCTGGCTCACCTTTCTGGGTATTCTGAATCTAGGGGAGCGCTCCATTTTTGTGCAGTCAAGTGTGACCAGAGAGCGTAACCTGTCATTTAAGTAAACAGAGGCTATTGTGGTGGTCAACTGTGGCCCTCAAACCAAGTGTGGCCTTTGCAACCACAACCAGGGATGCGGGATTCAGGATGGAGAAAAATAGGCTACTGGGCCTAAATGCAAGGGAGTAGTTTTAATAAGTCCAGACTCTTGCATCTTCCCATACATGGAAAAACATCATTGGCCTGGGTTAGCTGGTCTATCTTTAACTAGCAGTAATCTTTTGGTGTTCTGCTATCTGCGATTCCGCCCCTCCTCCCCCCAAAACTGTGTATCTTGGCTTCTCCGTTTGCATCTTTGGAAAAGGCCCTCAGAGCTATCTGAGAGAATGTCTCCTAGGCTTAAATCCTCAGTTAAGTCCAACAAATAAAAGATAATTCTCAGCTTTTAGGTTATGTGTGTTTTTTTCAAGCAACATCTGTTCAACTCTTAAATGTAGTTAACTGATAGCAAGAGGAAATAGTCTTTTCCTTTAAACTTCATATTGAATCCCCCTCCTTGGAAAAAGCCATTTTGCAGATACTTGTAAATTCATTTCCCAATCCTGATTTGAATGATATAAATGGGTACTTTACATTGTCCTTTAAACCAACTATAAGATTTCACTGGTCCCCTCGTTAATGAGTAAATAAAAATTTTTACACTGTTTATTTTGTATCTGTATGAGACTTATGACTTATCTGTTTATGAAAAGATGTTGTTTTATTCTTTGGAAAGTACACTTCCTTTTTAGGAAACAGAAGTGCCTTCCCCTCTGCCTTTCTTAGCTGAAAACCACAGTGAATTTAGTGTAAAGTTTATTACATTGGCAAGGTTTCAATGAACACTGTCTGACATTATTTATTGATTTGTTGATTATTTATTTCCCTCACTAAAATATAAGTTCTAGAACAGAGGCTTGTTTACTTCTGAAACACTGAAAGAATTGTCTGCAGGCAATTATCCTAGTTTGGATAATACTCTCAAACTCTCTGGAAGGCCATAGTTAAGCCAAGCTACAATGAAGAATGGAATGCAGCGGTAGCAATTTAACTCAGAATGAATTATGACATTTCTCCACTTACTAGGGAGTAGACTAATAATAATTCCACATGCTCCAAAAGAAAAAAAATATTCCATAACTCTAACTGTGTTCTATGCATGGATTTAATCACTTTGTTTTCCATCATTTCATCCTTAAAACCAGTGGTCCTCAACCTTTTTGGCACCAGGGACTGGTTTTGTGAAGGAAATATTTCCACAGACCAATAGTGCAGTGATGAGGGGGTGATTTGGGGATGATTCAAGTGCATATTTATTGTGCACTTTGCTTCTATTATTGTTACACTGTGATATATAATAAAATAACTATACAACTCACCATAATTCAGAATCAGTGGAAGCCCTGAGTTTCTTTTCCTGCAACTGGATGCTCCCATCTGGGGATAACGGGAGTCAGTGACACCCAAAGTGTGTTGCTCGAGTCCAGTCTACTCCATAATCTTGTTCTGGTTGTTGTCACTGCAGATAACTCGGGCTCAGAAAGATGCATGCATGCATACTAAATCATTTCAGTCATGCCCAACTCTGTGTGACTCTATGGACTGTAGCCCACCAGGTTCCTCTGTCCCTGGAATTCTCCAGGCAAGAATACTGGAGTGGGTTGCCATGCCCTTCTCCAGGTTCAGAAAAACAGAACGTTGGAAATGAAAGCAAGTTTTCAGTGCTTTTGTGGCAGTCTCAAGATATTCCACCTTGACTTTAATCCAGAATGTCTGGAGATTTGAAGTTGTCTTGAACATACTTTTAAGGCCACTGTTATTTGCAATTTCACACAGCTTATCCTCTTCTAGCACAGACAAAGTCGATTCACCTGACATTCACAAATGGTTTACAGACCCATTGCTTCCCAGTTCAGGGGTCTGTTGAGGCTGAAAAGTAAAGCTTCAATTCTTTGGAATGCTGTGATAGGTGATCATGAACCAGCTGGGAGAAAGAGGGCCCTGGCTCAGTGTCTTCCAAAAATCTCTGCTAATGTTTGAAACGTGTCAAAAATCCCAATGCTCACTCATCACCCCCATAATTCCAGCTTGGCTTTGAATGCAGCCACTTTATCTGCCAGTTTGAACTCGGTTGTCACTCTTCCCTGAAGTGACAGAATGAGATTCTTGAGCAGGGTGAATATGTCACACAAGGGAGCAAGTTTTGCAACCCATTCTGTGTCACTGAAAGGTGCTGCCAGTGGTGACTGTTTTTCTAAAAGAAATCTCTGGATTAGCCTTTGTCACTCAAACCCTCTGGCCAGTGATCTACCTTTAGAAAGCTCTGTCAGTTCTCTGTATCAGAGAAGACGCGTGTACTCTGCGTCCATCTCCTCACAGAGTTGCGTAAACAGACATGAGTTAAGGGTATGTCCTTTTTATTATTTTATTTATTTACTTTTGGCCGTGCTGGGTCTTTGTTGCTGTGCAGGATTTTCTCTAGTTGCAGGAAGCCTGGGCTACTCTAGTTTCGGTGCTCCAGCTTTTCCTTGTAGTGGCTTCTCTTGTTGTGGAGCACAGGCTCTAGGGCATGCTGGCTTCTGTAGTTGTGATTCCCAGCCTCTAGAGCACAGGCGCAATAGCTGTGGTGCACAGGCTTAGTCACTCCGTGGCATGTGGTATCCTCCCAGACCAGGGATCGAACCTGTGTCTCCTGCATTGGCAGGCAGATTCTTTACCACTGAGCCACCGGGAAAGCCCAAGGGCGTAGACTTTAATGTGTTGATAATGTTAACCACATCCTGCAAAAAGTTGTTCAGTTCAGGTGACATTTTCTGGCTAGCCAGCATTTCTCTGTGGATGACACAGTGTGTACACTCACATTCAGAAGTGACCTCTTGGAAGCACGTAGTGAAACCAGAAAGCCGTCCAGTCATGGGCAGCACTCCATCTGCTCCAACACAAAATGACCAGTGCAGTTTTCCTGATAGGTGATCATGCAAAGACTTGAATAGTTCTGCAGCTGTAGGGTTGGGTGGCAACAAAAGCCCACATAACGTATCTCCATGCACATTCTCTTGAAAAATATGTCGCACAAAAACAAGTATTGTTGCCTTCTTATCAACACCTGTAGACTCATTAACCTGGATTCCATACCACGGTGACTCGTTAATCCCAACAATTGTGCCTCAATGTCCTCTGCTATTTCATCAATTCATCTAGCTATATGTGCACGCTCAGTCATGCCCGACTTTGCAACCCCACGGACTATAGCTTGCTGGGCTCCTTTGTTCATGGGATTCTCCAGGCAAGAATACTAGAGTGGATTGCCATTCCCTTCTCCAGGGGATCTTCCCTACCCAGGGATCAAACCCAGCTCTCCTGCATTGCAGGCAGATTCTTTACCATCTGAGCCGCCAGGGAAGCTCTGGTGCTAGCCGAAAGAGGAGCACATGCATGTGTCACCTTTTGAACTGCAGTCTCTCCCAGAAGTTCACAACAAATTTCCTTAGCAGCAGGCACAATTAGCTTTTCACCTAATAGTAAAGGGCTTCTTAGTTTTAGCCATATGGTTCACCACTAAGAATGATGCTCTCCATACAAACACATCTGATGAAGTGCTCTGTGTGTGTGTGTGTGTGTGTGTGAGTCGCTCAGTCCTGTTCAACTCTTTGCAATCCCGCTGACTGTAGCCCACCAGGCTCCTCTGTCCATGGGATTCTCTGGGCAAGAATACTGGAGTGGATTGCCATTCCCTTCTCCAGAGGATCTTCCCAACCCAGATTTTGAACCCTGGTCTCCTGCATTGCAGATAGATTCTTTACCATGGTGGCCTTCAATAATTGCTTCTGTTCTTCATGTTCACCTTTTTTTTTTTTTTTTTGCCTTTTCTTTTTGAAAATCTCCAGAGGCTTGTCTTCTAATACAGCATGCTTGGTCTTCAAAGTAGTTGTGAAGATTTCATAGCTTTGTTGGATAGCCAGTCACCACATATTGTATAAAGTAGGCTTGGAGAATGTGAATCACATGTTGCAATGAAGTCGTAATTTAAGTAGGACTCGGTATTTTCTTTTAAACTGCAGTTTTCTTTTTGTTGGCAGTCTTAGGCTCTCCTGCTGTCTCATCATTGGGTCTTTCCCCCCTTTCAAAGAACCTCTCCACCAATGTTTGTCTTTTACTCATTTTGGCTAGGGTTAGCTTATGGGCTTACCAAAACTGACAGAGACAAGTACACAGTACTGGAAAGAGGCATGGATGGAAGTGGTAAATAAACTAATGGGTGGGCCACACGTTGACTGAAATAAGTGTCGGATTCTTACTTAAAGTCTGCCAACCACATGCAGCTGTACAGTTGAAGTACAGCAACTCACTTTCCCCTGTCAAGCCTGCCACCCAATGCAGCTTAAATGTCGCTTGCCACTCCCTAATAGGGTTTTGATATGAGTCTGCAAGCATCTGATTTATTATCGTCTGTGCAGTCAAACCTCTCTGCTAACAGTAATCTGTATTTGCAGTCACTTAGTGTTTCCCTGGTGGCTCAGAGGTTAAAACGTCTGCCTGCAGAGCAGGAGACCCGGGTTCGATCCCTGAGTCGGGAAGATCCCCTGGAGAAGGAGACGGCAACCCACTCCAGTGTTCTTGCCTGGAGAATCCCATGGAGGGAGGAGCCTCCTAGGCTACAGTCCATGGGGTCGCAAAGAGTCAGACACGACCGAGCGACTTCACTTCACTTCACAGTGCTAGCATCACCGTCTCAGCTCCACCTCAGATCATCAGGCTTTAGATCCTCATAAGGAACGTGCAACCTAGATCCCTCACACGTGCAGTTCACGGTAGGATTTGCGCTCCTATGAGACTCTAAAGCCACTGCTGATCTGACAGGAGGCGGAGCTCAGGCAGTGCTGTGAGATGAAGCTTCGCTCGCTGACTTGTGCGCCACTCACCTCCTGCCGTGAGTCCCTGTCCTAACAGTCCACAGTCTGGTACTGGCCCGTGGCCCAGGGGTTTGGGGACACAGCCCTGCCCTCGACTATGAAATGGAGAAGATAACAATACTTT